CCAGTGTTACTCAAACCTGTATCAGCCCTTAGGCTATCAACATAAGTTATGACTGTTCTTCCCCTGCTCAGCACACCATGGTTAGGTTCATTAAGTACCCCACACTTAGCAACTAGTTCAAGGTGGCAGTGTATATGGCAAAGCTAGTTGCATCCTACGCTCTTGGATCTTCATAGTTGCTCTTGAAAAGTCTCTCTAAAGTCTCTCTCAGTTGTTGATATCTATGCCCCCAAGGTACGTTTTCCAGCTGGTTTCCAGAACAGCTTTAAAGTCTACTTTCCTCTGTAGTGTTTAGAGTCATGAGATTTGTTTTAGAGTTGTTCAAGACTAACCCCACACTTTTTGCTGCTTCCTATAGCCTGTCCAGGAGTAGTTTTGCCCCATTCAATTATATCAGTGATAAGGGCACCATCATCTGAGAATTTGACATATGCGATATTTTCAGCACAAATCCATCTACACCCTGTGCAGGCTTAAGAGTGAACCCAGAGTCTGAGTCATCATCTATAGCCACTGTCATGATATAGTCAATCACGATGATGAACAAGTATGAGGTGTCTCTTTGCAGTACTCCCGAATCCTGATCCTACCAGGACCTCGAAGACCCCTGTAATACCATCTGCAGTTGTGATTACTTAAGCCACTGTGTTTGTGTAGATCAATCGCACTATGTATTCTGGTATACCATTTGCTTTAAGTATCTTAATAAGCAAACCTTTATGTACACTGTCAAAGGCTTTATTAAAATCTATAAACATCATAGTGGCCTTCACACTCTTTAGACCCTATATAATTCTTCACAGAACAAGAATGTGCGAAGTTGTAGAGCAACCAGGTCTGAAGCCATTCTGGTTGTCTCTTAGTTTTTCTTCAAGTCTTTGCTTCATCCTGCTCAGCATTTTGATTAGAGTTTTACTTTTTGTTTCTGATTTCTAGAAAATCATAAGACGTGGCACTTGGTAGCACTCTGTTTGCAATAACTACCTACTAATGATATCCATTACCCATGACATGTATAGTTTCTTTTAGGGGTTATAGAGGTGTCAGGATTTTAGCATCCACAGCAATATAGGTGATCTGGAACTCAATCTTATCAATACTCCTACATGATTTTATGGAGTGATTGTTGCAGTGAATGAATTTAATATATATTTGTGTTAAATTCCTATTTTGGACTCTTAAACTCTTTAATTTTATATGTTATTGGATTGAACCAAGTAACATGTTACTCTAGCGAGATCTCCATCCAAAAAGATTAGTCTGCGGGAGCTGTTTTATTACTTTACTTATACATCTTCGGAGGGTAGGTAACATTTCTACTACATTTAAGCTCTTCCTATAGACCTGCCTCTTGATCTCTTCCTATTTTTGGGTTGTCATTAGAATTGTCATTCAAGTATTATAACCTGATCTTGCCCTCCAGGGTCCCATCATAAGCACATTCAACTTAATCTTATTCTTATTTCATTTCATTATTTCATTTCATTTACCTAGATGTTACCTGTAAATCGCAGAACTGGTTGGACAATGGACATCAAGACTACTGTCACAGCCTGGTGACCTAGAGCTAAATGAGCTACTGTTTCCTGTGTAGACCTCCCAGATGCTGGACAGGCTAGGATGTTCCTCGCCTTGTGAGTAACTTCAAGATCAGGTGTTATGGATTTAATGAAATAAGGCCAGAGGGGGGCGGGGGGGGGGGGGGAAGGATCAAAATTTTCGACCTAAATTTTATTCTCTAAACAAATTCACATTCATTATTCAATTGGTGTCTTAATTATGGATATACTGGACCTGATAATGTGATGTAAGATGACGTGATAATACAGAATAACATGAAAGCCTTCATTCAATTAACCTCATTTTCACGATAGGAGCATATAAACTTCCAAAATTAGGGGATGGGCAGGTCAAATCATAGTCCTAACTTCAGGATATATATAGGCATTCAATAACTATGATATATTGACTTGAAATTGAATATTATCACAGGGAAAATATAATGACAATTCTTGTTGACACTGAGCACTAAACTAATGACAGCTAAGTAAAGATTCAGTTCAAGCCATCTAAAGCGACTCATGAATATTGAATATGTACATTAGAACTTATTTTTATGAAGTTTGGGTTTTATGATAAAGTTATTATATGCTACTTATATGAATGCTTTTTCAAAGAGATGCGTATTTATTCTCTTTTTAAACAAGACGATATCGGTTAATGTTCTCAATTGCTAAGGAAGCTGATTCCAAACAAAGGGTCCACAGTAACTAAAGCTTCTCTCAGTTTTACTATAATTTGAAACAGTAGGAACATTTAGGAGGAAATAGTCTTGTTCAGTCCGTAGTACACGTACAGGTTGACTCTTAATGTTGATGCATTTGGTGATATAATTTGGAGCTACGTTGTTGACACATTTGAACACGGTTAGAGCAATCTTATACTCTATTTGTTGTCTTATTGGAAGAAAATGGGCTTTTTTCAGGAATGGAGTGACACTGTGAGCACAATGTTATGTTATGATTACCCTTGTCAGTTTTAGTTTACAATGATATTTCAATTCCTTGTTTCTGTTGTAAAAGAAAGCACACAAATGACCTTACTTGAATATTCCAGCTGACACTGTTCTTAACGTATATAATAATCAGTTCTGCTAGGATACAACCAGATTAGTTTTCCTATTTTAAAAAATCATATAGTTAATCCATAGAGTTGTGTCAAATGATATTGAATCTCCGAAAAAGAGTGACAGAGGTTAAGCTCGTTAGGTTTTGGTCATTAAATGTTTAGGCAGTAATTTTTGATTAATTGTTCTAATTCTCGTTGCAGTGCCCTCGAATCATTGATAAACAACGTAAACTCAATTTACATAAACCAATATTTTCTGGTGTTACTATATCCGCCGAAATTCCCTTTCCTCAGGAACGAAAAATCTATTATACCATAAATTAAGTCAAACAATTGCCTAAAATTGTTGTAAACTAAATTTCATGGGAGGACTTATTTTAAAGGAGACTAAGATTTCAGCAGAGCATATACATGATATATGATTTAACGAATTTAAGTATCGTTAAATTTATACAAGTCGCTACTGCGTGTTATAGGTAAATGTATGTGATGCTATGTAATTGATGTATGTAATGTTGACTCGTCTTTAAATAATTTCCCAGATCGAAAATATTTTAGTCAAAAAAGCTAGCTGAATAAATTTAAAAAAATTAAATGATATGGAAAAATGGTCTTAAAAATACCTTAATTCCCAAAAATTTGGGCGACAAAAAATTTGAGCGGGCCTCTCGCCCAAATTTTTTGCAGACCAAATTAATTGCATAAATCTTTTCCGTCTGCTAAATTTTTTGCTAACCAAACTTTTGGCATTTGGCCTGTGGCCCTGAAATCTATAGAAAGATGGCTTTTTCTTCATATCCAAGTGAAATAATATTTGAAATTTTAGTTTTCTAATCTGTCATTCATGGCTTGACCAAGTAAAAAGGCTTATATTTTAAATGAATAGAAATAACTGGAATAACAAAAAATTGAAAGCAAAATGACTGGAATAATAAGGAATAATAATGAACTAAGGCAAATATCTAACTGAAATTTTAGTGGAAAATCGTTCATTTTTCGAAGAATTTGTGCCCAAATTTTCGGTCGCCCAAATGAGTTCAAATTTTCTGCCCAAATTTTTGGGGCTCAAATAAATTGTGCTCAATATAATGGCACACAAATTTTTGGGAACTAAGGTACGACTAATATTGTTGTTGACTTGAAATTAACAAAATTTGTGACTTATATTATGGTAACCATAATATTTATGGGAACCAAAGTTATTGTGAACCAAATTTTTTCAGGCATGGTGGGCTGAACATGGAGCTACCGAAAGCTGCGAATCATTTAGAAATAAACTCAAATGCAGCAGACAGACAGAAGCATTAGTTTGAGTTAAGTTGTAAAGCTTCTTTAAACTTTTTCATCACAAAGAGAAATTTGTGTTAAATAGTAGTGGTAAATTTAAAGGGCGTGTTGGTAGACCTAATACAAACTTATATCAAATATGCTTGTTGATGACCTTAAATATAGAAACTTAGAACTTAGAAATTTGAGTGATTTAAATGAAATAAGGGATATTGCTAGCTGTAGGAAGTGTTGGAAACTGTTGTACTAGGCACAGATTACGTAGTTAAGATGTTTTCTTAATGGAGTTCTATTAACTATGTATGATCCTGTTTTATAATAAGATTATTTGTATAGAGTCGTATATAATAATGTTTCTTCTTAGACTGCCAGAGAGCACAGAAGATGGCTACTAGACAGCTAAAATCGATACTTTACGAGCCACCAGGGGATGCCTTTTTTCGATGGATAAAGTAAGTGCACCGACTTTTGACGCTTAAAAAAGTAAAAAGGACTTTTCACAGAGATATTTTGGTACCATCTTATGATGGCCTCTCATATGTATCTTTCGCCTTTCGGATCAATTTATTCCGGTCAACAAAGTTTCCTACTCCAGGCCATTAAATTGCTCCGTCAAAAACGCTATTATACCGGAGTTTTATTATAGTCAGGAGTTGGACGTTTTTCTGTACGCTTAGCTTGTCAATCTATGGTGTAGTTACCGTATAATATAAATGCTGTGAACACATTTTTCACTTGCTCGTTGACGAGGGTCACGTGATGGTAGGCGAATTTGTCAAGTTTATACGACTATTGTAATTGTACAATAAAATATTTATATTTTTGTATCCTTGTATCCGTGACCTCTGACAGGACACCGGTCATCTCGCCCAATTTTCCCGGGAGAATCAGATCTCATGTCAACTAGCGCGTGATCATCCCGGCCTGGGTGGTCCACTTGTAATGTTGTCAAACGGGAACCTCGGCCTCGCACATCTGGTAGTGAAGTACTGATTACAGCTGCAGGTCCTCCAAATTCACGAAGTCCAACAAGTCCTTGTATGAGCCATCAGTGTAAATCACGGTACTTTTCTAATCATAATCGCTTAGCTTGGCATCATTCAATGGACATTTGTTGTTCAAAAGAAGAAAAGTCAAAAATGAGAGTGAACGGTGACTGCTTATTGCATAAGCTCTTAAATCTGCTAACCGTACATAGCTCACGCAGCTGTCTACAGTTGCTGGGCTCGTTCCGGGTCAGAAATTTAAAGTTTACTGCGGCGTGGGGCTACATCGTCGTTCTGCTGTCGTGTACATTTAAGAATGTGGTGTGGAAAGAGTTCTGACTTTTCCTGGAGTAAAGATATATGTCGGCCGTCTTTGTCACGGAGAAGTCTTTAAAGCTTTAAAGCTCTGAGCTTGACCTATTAAAAGACAAAAGATACATTTGCACGTCACGAGTAATGTGACCTACTGAAAAAAAATCGGGCAATTTGAAAATTTAGTCAAGTTCACACATGCACAATCAACCCCTCATTGGTGTGATCCTCTGATCCGGGAAATCGAGATGTCCTCTCACAAACAACAGTTATTAGTAACAAGCATAACACGATTTTCCAATCTATTAACGAAGTTTGAGCATTTAGGGTCAAAGCAGAGACTTGGGTCGATGTGAATCGGCTTAAAAATAACAAATTTGGGGTATCTTTATTTTACATCTTGGTCGAGACCTGTCACCAGCAATATGATTTCATGTTGCCTTATTCAGGCGGGCGAAACTCACGTTACATGCGATCTGATCATCTGACTCTCACGATCGAGATCGGTAGCTTTAACTCACCAGCTCCAACACGGTTTTTTAGACTTTTTTCGGTTTTTCGAGCTGCCCTTCTCCCCTGAGGCCACGATGAAAAACATACAATATATTATATCTTTATTCTTTATATGTTACATGCATTCCCCTGCAGTAGTGAAAAGTAAATTGTTTGTTTTATTTCAGTGTCGACAGCTCAAACTATGGTGGTATCTTATCGCTACAATGCTGCTAACTAGACTCTTGGATGAAGTTAAGTTGTTTTAGTCAGATGATCTACTTTTTGGCGTTTCCTACTGCCCTAGTTATAGTAGTTCAAGGTTTAACTGTAAATATAGTGTTAAGTAAGTTTCAATACTTCCCTGCCACCTTTTCAGACATTGCAGAGATGTGTGACCGCACAATTCTCAAACCGAAGAATCAAAAGGAGTTATTGATTTATCGGTATATAAAGTATGTATGCTTTATCAAACAAAGCCACTAGGTAAGCAAATTCAAATATTTTGACAGTTCATACTGCGGTTATACATTGCAGCCAATGCGCAGCAAACAAGAGCTTGCCACTGCTATAAGCATTCGTATTCGTAGCTTGTTTGAATCTCAAATTTATTCGAATTATCATAAGTAGCCGGAAGCCCGTCCTGCGGACGGAGTTCTTCAGCACAAAATCGATTCTCAAACATTTTAAATCTACCCTTTCTCATTTCTACTTCTTTTCCTTTCACAATTTTCATGTTTTAAAAAAACTTCTTACCCCTATCCATGTCACCTATGATTCATGCATTTCTAGCTTCTCGGACAGTGCTGTCTTTTCCCTCATTGGCAAATCCTGAAAGTTTTATGAAAAATATAGATCAGAGTTATGTTTGTTCTGCACGTCTGCATTTCAGGTATTCGTGACACAGTTTACGTGTGATGACGTGGGCATCTCTCAACACACTTTGCAGCATGAGCGACGGTGCCGTGGCGGGATATCTGGAAATGTAGCCTTGAGCTCAGTTTATTTTTCTCCGTCACCTCACCCGGGGGAGGGGGGGGGGGGAGCCAATGACTTTGGGTACTTTGGGGACAAGTGCAGAATTTCGCCAGCAATTTAACCTCAAGTCTCCAAGATTTTTAGCCCCCATTGGTACCCAAAAGTCTCCTTTAGAAGTCATTTAATAAAAGATAATATCAAAACTACATAAAACTCGCCAAAACTTTGGGTACTTATGGGGACAAATGGAAAATTTCACCAGCGATTTGACCTTCAGTCCCTATGATTTTCGTCCCCATTGGTGCTCAAAAGTCTCCATCAGTAGTCATTGCCCCCCCCCCCCCCCCTCATCCTGTGTCGGCTGTATTCAATTCTGATTGTACCACGGTTAAAAAATGCCAGTTAAATGTACCAACTCTCGTTTTATTTATTGTACCGACTCTCGCTCTTCGACCACGCTTTTCGTCTACTTGGCGTAGGGCGCGGTAATATTTCATGTAATCACGCACACACGTATCGCGCGCGATGTAGAAATAAGTGCAGCGCACATGGTCTTGTGGGTGACCCCCGTAATCCATGTGGTGGGGCAGGAGGGTCAGGCACTGTTTTTGTGGGTGACCCCCGTAATCCATGTGGTGGGGCAGGAGGGTCAAGCACTGTTTTTTCTGAAATGAACCTCCTGATCCATGTGGTGGGGCAGGAGGGTCAAGCACTGTTTCTGAAATGAACCTCCTGATCCATGCGGTGGGGCAGGAGGGTCAAGCAATGTTCTTTTCAGGTTGACCCTCCTGCGCCATTATAGACAGAAAGTCTACACTATAATATGTTTATATTGTATAATCATTGTGTAGAATATAAATGCAACTTCAATGTGGAGAGCTGGTGAAAAATTATGGCCTTTGTATCAATGATTATAATAAGCTATAAATATCTTAAACTATACGGTGCTGATTAAACATCTCTTTATACTTCATTCTCAAATTAAATTTTAAAAATTCAAAAATTCAAAAATAGACATTAAAACTTTCTCGCACATGCTTTACTCACAGGAAAAAACTTGGATAACACTTAACTATGCAATTTCGTTGAGATGTATGTGGCCAAAAAATAGTGATCTTTGGAAGACAATATTGTTGCAGTCAACATCTTTTACAGTCCAATCAAGCAGGGCATGGCTATATTGATTATTTAATAGAACACGTTTAAGCTTTCCCTACGATGTGCAAACACATCACACTCATGGTTAAGTCAGCCATTCGAAGCTTTTTAACGGGTAATACTCGTAAAATATCTGTTCCATATATATATACCGTCGACGAGTCCAACTCGGCGCGCGTCCTGGTAGGTTGTGAACCTACAATAAGCTTTGCATGGGATAATCATGTTAACAAATTTGATTGATATTGCATTGTGTCATATCAAATAAGTAGGGAGAGCTTCCTTGTCGAGCATGTGTAACCATAATGTAAGGGTATTGGAGCACGGAATTTCATTATCTTGTAGACCACTTCCTCATAATTTAATTATGAGTATAGAAAGAGTATATTTTGAGCGCGTGACGCCAGTTATTATATGTTTTAATGGTTTAAAATTCATCAAGACTGTGTGTTAATGGTCGCTCCTACTAAATCGCTCGCCCAAATTTTAAGAAAATTCTTGTGAAAAGGCCCTTTGGGCATGAAGGTGATCTTAATCGGTGTATTTTTGGACGCTGATTCCGAATCACCCCCCATGACGTAGGGTTAAAATGCTTCCCTGAAGAGTTATTGGCAAAAAACCGTTTTGGTCACGTGACAGGCTAATAAAATACAAATTCGATTGTTTAGGTCCCGGGTTAGGGTTAGGGTTGTGGTAAGGGTTATGGTTAGCTTCGGGGTTATGGTTAGGGTTAGGGTTGGGATAAGGGTTTATGTAAAACCGTTTTGTACGGCTGCAAAACCATAAAAACCAAAGTCACCTGAAATTTTTGGGCGAGCGAATTAGTCAAAGCCGTTAATGGTTAATGGTTAATTAAATACACGCATAGCAACCAGTTCTTGGTGCTTGACGATTGTTACACAGGTTTTCATCGGGTTACAATTTGCTCTAATCCATCAATATAGGCTGATTATTTAATAGTTCGACACTGAAGAAATAAATGAAAGAAGGAAAAAATATTCAAACAATAAACACATAATATAGCAATGAATATAAACATTTTACAAAAATTCGACACTGAATGGTAAAAATCTTGAATGACGATGTCAACCCTTCCAGATCGTTGCCCTGCGATTTCGATGCGAAGCAAGAATGCTAGTTTGCGTGGCGAAGCGATCGAAGCGGCGAAGTCCTCCAAGTAAAAATCGAATTCTTAGTTGAAAACAGATGTTACTATTTTTTACATTTATATTCAAGAAGCAAATAAAATTAAGTAAAACAAAATTTTAAGTAAAACAAATTTTAAATTTTGCGGCAAGCTTTCAAAAAACTGTATATCTACTATCTAGCCAATGGTTACCTGGGGACCTCAGGTTATTATGTTTATATTCATAGAGATTAGGCGGAATGACATGCTGAGCGCGGCCCAGTAAGTAAAGCTCTTACAGGCAACTGGTTTCTTTTGCCAGCCGTTTTTAGTCCAGTACTGTCTCATTTTCGATTTCAGAACATGCGCAACAAAAATTTGTTTATGCCATGCCAATTCGTTAAATTAGTTGTATTACGCTGTAACCCCCTGTCATTGCACGAAGTGGTTTGTGGCGAAAGCCACGAATGACGAAGCCGCGCACTCGTGCTTGGCAGGGCTACAACGTGAAACAAACTTCTGCTTTAGAGTTTGTATTTCATTGTCTGTTTTCAATTTTGAATTCATTAGTTTAGGCTCGGCGCCGTCATTTGTTATTATAATGTATAATTTGTAGGTTTATAACCTACCAGGACGCGCGCCGAGTTGGACTCAGATATTTTACGAGTATCAGTTCACCCGTTAATGTATAATGAGTGACTAGCGCCGCGCTGATAGAAATTTATGATTGAGATGAATTTCGAGTAGTATATAGTAAAACGCGTATTTTACATAGCATAATATAATTTTCATGAGCATATGATCTAATTTCCATAAGTTTATTATCTAAGGTCCAAGTTTAACTATGTTTATTTTGATATTTGCTCTATCCAGAGCCCGTGCGCTTGCAGTAGCGCGCGCCCGCCTCTTGACTTGCGAAGCAAGCACGCCCGCAGCGGCGCGAAAGCACATGTGATATGGTTAGGTGAATTATAATATCATAATTCATTGTAATATGGCAATGAAATTTAAATTTTGTTTTACTTTAGTGGATTGACTTACCTGGGGACCCCAGGCTATTATGTTCATAAACATATGCCGAATAAAGATTCGGCGGAATGACAGGCTGAGCGCCGCCCAGTAATGGATTGACAAAATGCACTATTGCCATTAAGACTTGCCGGGCTGCGAAGGATTAACATCGCGATTCAAGGTGCGCGCAGTTCTTTGTTATGGCATCGTAATCAGCTCATCCAGACAAAGCTTTTAATTTTAATATTTTAAACGTCGCAGCAAATCAAACTGGGCAAAGATCTTGATTTGTCGCGGAGAAGTGGAAAAATCTCACGTGCCGTAATTTTCTTTTGACCTTGATCAATCTTCATTATAAAAATGTAGGGAAAAATAAAAATATAACACTCCTTAATTTTCAATTTTAAAAAATAACTGGTATATGCTTGTATCCAGTATCACGTCGTGACCCCCATCGTCGTTTCACTATTGACTATAAAGTTTCACTGTAGAGTTTCTTCGATACAGGGGGAGCCTTACCTGGGGACCTAAGGCTATCATGTTCATAAACGAATAGAGATTAGGCAGAATGACAGGCTGAGCGCGGCCTACTAGTAACTTAAACCTATTATTTATTATACTCTAACAGACGCAAGGCTCGAAGTCAATTTCAATAAATAATCAAAATTTCTCGACATCGAGACGAACATAAATGATCAAATAATTCCATTTTGATGAACATTATTCGAATTTGCTAATTTAATTCTGAATTCTAATTCTAAACGGAGCCGGCGAACCGGGTTTCTGGGCAGTCTACTCAGCAGCCGATTTTAAGGGTCACGTGACCTATGGGTTGGTATCGGCCCAATTAGACACGTTCTAAACGCTCACGTGACCAGTTTTATCCGCATAATACGCAGTGATTCTGTGTCGGTAATATACAATGAAAGAGTAAACAGCGGTTAAATCAGAGGAGAGAAAGAGACTGGGGATTTACTTTTAGTTTTGGTAACTGGACTACATTTTGTATCACGTTGCGACCCCCACGGTTGTTTCATTATCGTCCTGACGATATTGTAGGTTTAAAACCTACCAGGACGCGCGCCGAGTTGGACTCGTCGACGGTCCTGTATATGGAACAGATATTTTATGAGTATCACCCGTTAATGACGATACTCATACAGGGGGAGCCGTGCACTTCGTGCGCGGCGGGTCATACAACGTATGACAAACTACATTCAGGTTTTACTCATTCCGAAAGAAATTAGAATTGGTGTTGAGTTTTAGTTTACGTCGCTCCCTTTCTGACATTACTACTCCTACTAAATCGCTCGCCCAAATAAAAAAGTCTTGTGGAAAGGCTTGCTACACCTTGTATACCTCTCTTGTGCACCGGCACACGAAGCGTGCGCTCCTGCAAGGCTCGAAGTCAATTTCAATAAATAATCGAAATTTCTCGAGACGAACATAAATGATTAAATAGTTCCATTTCGATGAACAGTATTCGAATTTGCTAATTTAATTCTGAATTCTAAACCGAGCCGGCGAACCGGTTTTCTGGGCAGTCTACTCAGCAGCGGATTTTAAAATTAAGGGTCACGTGACCTATGGGTTGGAATCGGCCCAATTAGACACGTTCTAAACGCTCACGTGACCAGTTTTATCCGTACTATACTATTACTAATACAGTGAAAGAGTAAACAGCGGTTAAATCAGAGGAGAAAAAGAAACTGGGGGATCTATTTTTGGTAACTGGACTACATTCAGGTTTTACTCATTCCGAAAGAAATTGGTTTTGAGTTTTAGTTAACGTCGCTCCCTTTCTTAGGCTGCAAAACCAAAGTCACGTGAAATTTTTGAGCGAGCGAATTTGTAAAAGCCGACATTACGCACAAACGAACGCACCCACGTGCTAACAATAACATACGCTCTGATCTGATTGGTTAATTTATATCACGTGACTAGAAACAAATCTCTGATTGGCTAATTGTCCATGTCATACGTTTTTTGCTTTTCCTTCCAATTTGCAAATATTCATCATTTGGATGACTCACAAATATAAATTTGAGTTAAAAGAAGTTGATTGTTGAACTGCATAAACAGAAGATCAATGTAATATAAAATTGTCTAGTGTAACTGTATATAGACATCGAGAAGGGAGACCATGTTACGATCGGTACCAATATCCCTCATCGTCTCACTACTACTGATATCAATAGGAAACGGTTTGTAAATTGTCTTTTTTAATTACACTATATTTAATTTTATGTTAAACACTGTAATTGTGTAAAAGTTACTTTTTAAACGAATGTGGACAGGAATTAGTGGTACATGGTAGCTTAATATCCTTTTTTACTCTTTAACTTTCACGTCCATGTTTTAATATTTCTAATTTTTTTTCCCAGCGGAGGGATGGAAAATTCAAGAAAAAAATGTCTGGTTTCCACATTTATGGGATGATATACCTCTTGAAGTGAAGACAACCTCTACGATAGGAAGTGGTGATCAAATATTTTTTGAAGTTTCTCACTCAGGCAACGTGCGGCAACTTAACGGCAGAACGTTTGCAAGAGTTGTAGTGCAATTAAGTGACACTCCTTACTTCTACATTCGCCATTGCCAACAGAATACTGCCTTGCAAGATCTACCCGACGCTCAAAATGACGTGAGGATTTGGACATTCATTAAGCTGGGATTCAAAGGAATTGCAATCAAGTGTAACGGAGTATTGGTGGCAGCAATGAATTTTGCCGAATCTCGTCAAAGAGATTGTTCATCCTCAAAGTGGCTGACTAGTACAGTAAGGTTCATCAAGTTTAATCCTGATTGGGATAATTCTGTGGGTATTAAAGGTGGGTTAATGTTTTATTACCAATTTATCACATCTGCATTCTGCATATCACTTTATAATATTGTAAGATATTTTGCAAAATATAAAGTTGAGCGTTTAATCAACGAAAAGCGTCACTTTCACACTTTGTTTCAGATGTGTGTTCAGAAGGGAGTTATAGGAACTACACTATGACGGAATGTGTTAGATGCAAAGGTAACAGTGTTAGCTCAATAAAAGGTGCTGGAATCTGTTCCCCCTGCCCGGATGGAACAGTCGTAAATAAGCAGAAAACACTTTGTGGTATGCACCTATCATAACTTTATTTTTGCAATCAGCAATGAATACTAATACTATTACTATAACATAATTGATAATACCTACAACCTCCATCAAGTTATATGGCATATTGTCCAATTTGGTTTTACCATTATCCAATGGCTCTTTTAACATTTGAAAGAAGGAATTTTATAATATTTGATCTTTTAACTTTAAGCAACGTATCTAATCACTATGTTTCAGATTTGTGTTCGGAAGGGAGTTACAGGAACTCCACTATGACGGAATGTGTTAGATGCAAAGGTAACACTGTTAGCTCAATAAAAGGTGCTGGAATCTGCTTCGACTGCCCGAATGGAACAGTCGTAAACAAGCAGAACACACTTTGTATTAACAGTGGTATGTCTAGATCAAATAGAATTCCTTACCCCCAATGTAGTATGTAGTGGTATTTTCGCATCAACTTAATTAATTTCTGGTAAATGAAGTGTTTTTGGTATACAATATGAATGACGAGAACAATATCTCAGGTTACAATATCTTCCTGCCTGTTTCATGTGGTTTAGCTGGCATATTCTTAGTGCTGATACTGATAGTGATAATAGTTTCTGCACAAAAGTGCCTCTGTAGAAACGTGGAGACGGAAGCTGAATATATCAACGCTGAAACCGTTGAACTGCAAGCAAGGTTGCCTCCCTTACCAGCTCACGTCCCTCCAATACCACTGCAAGGTGCAAGCTGCAAGGAAATTGAGGAACAGAGAGAAGCAACTTACAATGACTCAGAACTAAACTGAGATATAATGTTTAGTTATCTTTCGTAAGAGTTTGGGGGAAAAGTTTAGACTGTTCTAGGCTAGCTTATTGACTGTTCACTTTATAATTATTAAGCGCCAATTTGGGAAACAAAATGTTTGCAGTAAATCGGCGTTTAACTTAATTGCTAGGAATTATGAATTAATTTGATCTGTGTTTCGGTTTTTCAAAAATAAATAAATAATAAGTTATAGATATTACATATTTTTTTGGCCATTTTTATATTGAATTTTACGCTTTACATTATGATTAACTGGGAATAAACATGCATTTTGGAGTTTATATTATCACTTTGTCACCTGCTTTGAAATTGGCAATTTTTATTTTTAATAATATCGGTTATAAATGTTTCATTTCTATTCATATAAATATTGGTTATTGACGAAAATACAGTCAGCTAAAATTATCAGTATATATGGCACCTTTCATGAATATGTAATTGTATTAATTAAAGTGGTAATTTTGATCCCAACACGATTCAGGAGTTTTACTCGGAATACTGCCCTCTCCCCTCCCTCCCCCTCTCTCTCTCTATCTCTCTCTCTCTCTCTCTCTCTCTCTCTCTCTCTCTCTCTCTCTCTCTCTCTCTCTCTCTCTCTCTCTCTCTCTCTCTCTCTCTCTCTCTCTCTCTCTCTCTCTCTCTCTCTCTCTCTCTCTCTCTCTCTCTCTCTCTCTCTCTCTCTCTCTCTCTCTCTCTCTCTCTCTCTCTCTCTCTCTCTCTCTCTCTCTCTCTATCTCTCTCAAGATGAGCAGGTGTTAGCTCTGGTTCAGATGTTACCGTTACCTTCATGTCATGTCTCTCTCTCACACACTCGCCCTGTTGTTCCCCGTTATTATAATATATTTGTCCTTGATGTAAAAACACCAGAACCAAAGTATTAAAGCTCTTAAGCTATCATCGAGTATGATACGACGCGCAACTGGACTAAAAGTGACACTCGCACGAGCGACAAGTAGCTGGTTATCGCTCTAGTTCTATACCGAGGAATAAAGTCATATCGCTCGTGCGCGGCACCGAATACCATGAGCCTTACTGAGTTGTCGCCAGACTTCACTAGGGGAGGGATTTCTTGTAACTAGAAATGCAAAGTGATTGTTCCAATATATCTCTATCTGTCCATAAACCAGAATTTAATATGGCTTCATTCAACATTTTAATACCAATACAAATTTTCATTCAGGAAGAAATTTTACCATGTCGCCTAGTTCGATATCAAGATCCAAGATCAAGTCATCAAACATCACAACTTATGTATCCCATTAGTATAATTAACAATGGCTGTAGTGCTCTAGCAATTATATAACTGTATATTTAATAGATCACAAAGACTAAAGTACTTTCTGTTCATTGGTTAGAATAACCGTAATGAATCAAACATGACTTCCATAATGCCAGAAATGTAAGATTTGTCACGTTCAATAGATGTAAAATATCAAGCCTGATTAAATTTGTAGTTATACTTATAACGAAATGGAAAAGAAAACGGCTTTACTCTACGATAAAACACGTGTTATAATGCTAAACGAAAATACAAATATCGCATTTGTGAATAATAATTTATTAATAAAAATATTAAATAAGTAAATGTATAAATCACGCTCCGCTAACATCTAAAACTCAAATAAAAACTGTTCGTCTGTCCCACCGCGGTCCCCCGCCGCGCACGGAGCAAGAAACGATCTACCGCACCATGAGAATGATTTGATCTATTTTGAACTTGTTTTAGGAAACAGTCATTATATAACTCTAGACTCCTACTGACATCACTTAGTTCGAGGAAAGAGTTCGGAGTACCGCTTGTCGAAGTAACATGACATGGTCAACCCTGCCTGGCCAACCTCACTTTCGTCCTCGTTGAATTTGTGACAGTTGTTGAAGATAAGTCTGATGTCTTTGTACAAATCCTCGTTTGTAACGTATTTGCTGGATTCCAACTTTTTACTGCACGTCTCGAAATCCATGGGGTGTTTGATGTACTTGTAGTACTCGGGAAATTGTTGTTTGTCCACCGGAGAAAGGAAGGGCCAGGCGCAGTGGTGAGTCTTTAACTCATCTGAAACACGTATTAGCAGATCAGAATTATTATCAAATTGTTCACAAAATTCATCTAGAAAACTGCAACCGAAATTAATAATAAGATACATTAAATAAGTCAACTAATTGAAGATGAAGATATACCATGTTACAACATACCTAATAAAGCAATACAAAGATCGTGGTTGAAACAACTAGGTCGGCGCTGCCTCGAATCCTCAGTCTTCTTAGCCCTGCCTCTTCCTTTACCGTTTTTTGAGTTCGTCAGTGAATTACTCTGTGAGTCAGATCCCCGTTTAGAATTAGAGGATTTAGCGCAGGTGGAGCATTGCCAGTCTCCTCTGGGTGGTTTGTAGAGAGGAGGGTTGAGGCAGGTTAGGTGGTAATTCCTCAGACACTTGGAGCAACCTAGCTGCTTACCACCCTGCCAGTAATATTAGGGTTACACAGGACATAATTACATTTGTTTTAAAGAGACGTCAGTAAAAGTAAGATCTGATAAATAACTGATAAGAGTAGTGACGGGAAAGAAGCTGAGAGAGCTGGAAATAAACAATAAAGTAAGCGTGACTGTACCTTGGTTGAGCAGACGGTGCACATGTCCTCTGGGGTATTGTTGGCAACACACCTCAAACAGAACCAGTCATCCTCGGGTATCTTCTCGAGGGGCGGGGTGCAGCAGTAGGTGTGGAACCCTCTGTCACAACTGTCACACAGCAGTAACAGGTGGTCAGCTCCTCCTTTACAACACACCTGGTAATAAAGGCTTTTATTTCCCGGATTATATCACCACTTTTATATTACTTAAGATAATTGAACAAAGGGAAGGAGCACAAAAAGTACATATTATTCTAGTTGACTAACCTGGCAGTACACTTTCATGATGCTCTTATCCCAGGCTATACAAGCTTGTAACTGTTCCACGCAGATGCTAAGTTGGGATGGGTTCTCGGCTACCTCCACCGCCGCTCTCCAAGCTCTCAGACCAGGGGGGATACGGGTCGGGTGCTCTCTCGCCTCCTGTGGTTCCTAAAGTGAGTTACTGGCTTAGCCAGCTTCAGCCTTAATCAAGCGTACAACAAATACCAACATTAGGTTGTAATAAAGAAAAAGCTTAGAGATAAAATTATGAGGACGTTAGAAAAGTTATCTAATAAAATTATGAGGACGTTAGAAAAGTTTGATCGATCAGGCGATTGTAAAGTAATCAGAAAATGACCTCTTCGTCGGTGTTGGGAGCTAGACCAGGGTGATGGGACTTCAGAGGTGGTTTCATGTACCGGGCCTCTATAGAGGCCTCTAACTCTAACAGTAAGGTTTTACAGGCTAACAGAACAGCCCTGTTTGTATCGAAACTAGCAGCGACGTCCTTGTCCGCATCTGGACTCAGAGAGTTGAAGTGGAGCTTACAGTCCTTTGTTTGCAGACTCCCTCGCAGCACTTTCTCTTTGAACGCCTCTAGGTTCCGGAACACTTGACGTGCTACCTCAAGTTGGCCCTTAGGGTCTGGAGCATCGTCTCCCTCCTGGAAGGGTAGCACGTGACTTGCTTCTTCTTCTCCCTCTTTAGTCCGGTCTATCTTGTCCGTGTACGGACAGCCTGGTACTTTGGGTTCTGAAGGGGACAAATATGTTACACAAATATGTTACACAAATATGTTACACAAATATGTTACACAAATATGTTACACAAATATGTTACACAAATATGTTACACAAATATGTTACACAAATATGTTACACAAATATGTTACACAAATATGTTACACAAATATGTTACACAAATATGTTACACAAATATGTTACACAAATATGTTACACTAACATCTGGAAACCAAACATGAAGTGTTTGTTTCACAGTAAATGTGGAGGGAATGCAAATTAGTAACACTTCAGTGACTTCAGTTTAGAAATGCTGCGTATTTAACTGCCTGTTTTTAACTAAATGCGTGACGGTATTATAAGAGAAGAACAGGAAAAACTGCAGGAGAAATCACACAGCCTACGTAAGGAAACGTTTTGGCAGTGAACATGGAGAAAAACAACAATGTAAGAATCGTGATCACAATGATCACTCTTCAACATGTTCGTCGGTATTCTGTTTAGTGGAAGAAATTAAAATGTTGATAACTTGTGTTGCCTTGCTATTTGCAGGTATTACTTAATATCTTAAATAATGGTTTCTTTTGGATCATTTGGTATCGGGGTGACGTTAATGAAACTGATATAACCATTATAAACGATTGCTTGAGTATATTGGGTTAGTGACATTGCACACAGCTATTATCATGTGTAATTTTAGGTTGTCTTGGAGAGTACACGATAATGCTGACAGATAATCCTGGGTTGTTGTTTATCCAAGATTTAATATCCTATGCTGATAAACATTATGTGTGCGGTGATAATTTCTCTGACAAGAAAGCTGACTTAGCATGTAAGAGTGCTGACTACAGGGGGGCTATATCCTGGTCAAACTCTTCTTTCACTACTTCTAGTGGAGATTTGATAGTCGGGACATGTGAAGAAGACGCAGAAACTTTACTGGATTGCAGCATAAGCGGAGCAAGGCCATGTCTTAAAAATGCAAATTTTTTATATAATTTAGCAGTACTACATTGTCAGGGTAAGACTATTTAGCTAAACCAGGTAACCAGGTAACCAGGTATCCAGGTTACCTGGTTACCTGGTTAAGTACTACATTGTCAGGGTAAGAATATTCAGCTTAACTATGTAATGTAAGTTTTTGTCACTTGACAGTGATTTGATCGGTGAATGTTGCAAGCTTATTAGCCAATTATTGTCACGTGTCAAAACAATATAGCAAACAAATCACAACTACCCACGTTAAGACATAGTTAAATCTTGTAAACACTTGGTTTCACTCCCTTATCAGCATGGGTTGAAGTTTTAGTTATAATCATGAAATGAAAATGCAATGAAATGAGGTATTTCTATCCCGCTCATATGATTAACCAACAACACAAGGAAGGTGGTTAACCATGTCGGAGCGGCATAACATCTATTACAAAGAAATATAATATACAACATGATATTTTCATTCTAATAACATTTCCTCAGATAACACGGATTTTTTCCTCTGGGATGGGACGTATGATGGGGATTATAACTACAGGAAGAGTAATAGCTGGGGTTTGCTAATGGCAAGACAGGATTTAACCAAAACGTTTGGGCCCGTTTGCCAGAAAGCTTTAAAAGATGAACAGCCCATCTCTATTTCTACTAAAACAGGGAACTATATCTGCAAGCAACTAGGCTATGATATACTACGAGAAGTGAGACTGGTAGAAGATAATCCGTGGTATTGGTTTGCTGCACATTACCCGTCATTACTGTACGATATTAACTGTGAGGACAAGGAATGTAGCTTTAATACGCAAACGTACGGTTGCCAGGGTGATCAGCACGGTTGCCAGGGTGATCAGGAAACGCCGAGTTGCCAAGGTGATCAGCAGAACTACGTTACTATATCTTGTGACTGTACTTATGGTAGGTTTGATACGGGGAGCGGATGTAACGAATGCCCTCTTGATGGAGCGTTTGATAAACAGACTGGTCTCTGTAAGTATAATCTTAACGAGTTATAATAAGTGATTTCACAGTATGTTTAGATGGACGCACCATCTTCGCCAGTGGTTTTCATGACACAGTAAGATGAACTTTTACAAATCCAACAGGTAGAATGCTGCGAATGGTGGATAGTGAGACAGCAGAAATATCCAATCCTGGGATGTTGTATATGACCATCGCCAACATAGCGTCCATGAGTTCCGTCGAGGTACAGAATTCACGAAAATTTTGTAATGAACAGAAAGGATGTAAACTTTGATAAGCTAATAATTGTTGACGACAAAACACAGTGTTTTCTAATGAAGAAAATCGCTTCGATTTTAACTTATAACGAACGCTTACCAAATGGGAACAATTCTGTTTTAGCCAAACCATCCTAGAGCAGCTACAGATAAAATTGTATTGTTTTTTTGTATTGTTTTACCGTTATCAAAATAAAATAAGAGTAAAACCATTAGGATGGTATTCTATTGATTTGATCATTAGAGTCAATTTCCTTTGATAACATTGTTATTTCATCAATGCTTTTCATTTCAGCAATATAAAGTTTGTGATGACAACTTCAGCGACCAAATAGCAGACATGATTTGCAGAACACTAAATATGGATGGAGCGATATTTTGGGAAACTAGGGATGCTTGGTCATATCTTCTGAACGATATTTATTTTGCAAGCTGCCCAAACGATCCCCAATCGTTTGGAGAATGTAACCTTCAAGTGGGGGTTTGTTCAAAAAAGGACAAACAAGTTTTCCTACATTGCAGAGGTAAGAAAAGTTTCATTTTCATACTAAAGAGAACAAATTATGTTGGCCATGTTTTGCAAACAATTGTCTTTTTAGAACATACTCCATTAGCAACAGGAATAAAAAATGATAATAGCAATTGGTTATAGATAAATTTAGCGTCTGCAAGTCGATTTATAAATATAAAAAGCCGTCAGGTGTCAAAATAATCAGGATGGCTTGCCGAAGGTCAATTATATTCAAAACATAAATGTATAATTTAGTTACTCTTTCCACGACAATAAATATCCTCAGACAAGCTGAGCTTCACACTATGGAACACTCAAAGTGGGGAACCTTCAGAGGGAATACTATTGGTTGATTCTGTTGATCAGTCACAGTATATCAAGGGTACAGTATGCAGAAAAGAATCTGATAACCTATACGTCTACCAAGAAGAAAATGGTTCTAGTAGTAGCAGAGCATCTCAACAACCAGACACTGGGAAATACATTTGCCTTCAGCTAGGATTCGACGATAAAGATATTTATGACACCATATCTAAGGCTGACTATAAGTGGACATCGCTCATGGACGACGATTTTCCATACATGGCTCGATATAGAAAACTTGAGTGTGGGTATACATGCTCATACAGCAATGAAACTGTTAGCTGCGAAAGGGAAGACTTCATGTTCCTTTCTTGTAAATGTAACAATGGTAGTCACGTGACTAAATCAGGCTGTAAGCGCTGCCTTGAGAACAGCCAGTTTGATTACAGAGCAGAAGACTGTGTATGTGTCCCCGGAATGTACAAGACAGTCAAGGGAACATGTGAGAGCTGTGGTGAGGGTTACTATAGCTACGGTTCTAACATGGAATGCAAGCCGTGCTCAGTCAACCAATCAACCTCCACAGACCAAACATTCTGCACGTGCAGCCCCGGAATGTTCTGGAATTTTACCAGGAGCACGTGTGAAACGTGTCCAGAGGACTTCTACAGCACTCAATCTGATGCTATATCCTGTAGACCCTGTCTAGGAAACACTACTGCTCCCCCTAACTCAACAACGTGTTTCTGCCAAGCCGGGTATGTGCAGAATGTATCAGGATCCTGTGATATGTGCCCTGAAAACCACTTTAGTAAAGTGGGTAATATGGAATGTAGCACGTGTCCGGAGGGACAGACCGCTCCTCCAGGTTCTGATGTTTGTTACAAATGTACAGACGGACAGACATTGTTCAACAAGACATGTATAAAGTGTGATGGCACAGAGAACTGCTCACTGCAGTCCCAACTAAACACAGTGATGATAGCTGGAGGTATTGGAACTCTACTTGTTTTAGGTACTATATGTTACTGTAAGAGAGATAACATTAGGAGGCTTGATATTAGAGGGAGCATGAGGAGAAGACGAGATGTGCACCCGATGGATACCAGGGTTAACTGGAACAATGATGTTGCGGAGATGTATGTACACGCTGACTATGTTGTTCCGATTAATGAGAATATATATGAAATTCAGGGGTCGCGGGATGGTGTTGCCCCGTCCTTCATCGTTTGAGTGCATGAATATTACGAAGGATATTCATTGATAATAAGTTTAAACTGTTTATATATTATTTTCTTGTTCAGTTGTTATAAAAATGTTAGTTTGTAGACGGCCATTAGAGTGCGTTACCCATAAGCGGGGCACGCAAGTGGAGGGCTGCCTTATTAATCTGTGCATCTTAAGTTGAACGAGATCCACAGAGATCTAATTCAGGCAAGATGCATTTCTTGATATCTTGAACAAATGGAGAAAAAATATAAGTAAATTCCTTTTAGAATATTTTCTTGTGTTTCAGATGAGTTACAGTTTTATTTCAATTTAAATCTACAAATTCCATGTTTCAATTCACCTTGATCATTAGGCATCGTCTTGAGCAATTCTTTAGAATCGTTTAGGTTTTTGTGAAACTGCTTCTGTAGGTTCCTCTCCCTGATACCCCGAGAATTGAGGTTCAGCAGGATCTGTCTGATGGTCGCCTGGGATGTCACCCTCCACCAACCCTTCTGACACGACTCTGGTATGTCGTTCAATCGTAGAACATCGTCCGATGTTTCCATTGATTCTTCCTCGGTTGACTGGGGGGTCGGGGCGTTTTCTTCTTTGGATTCGACTCCAAAGGAGTTGCCTGCGGGACTGAAACGTACGAGGTTGTGAGCTTTGAGAAAACCAGAGAGGTGTTCTAGTACATTATTGTATACGCCGTTTACACAGTGAATACTAGGAGCAGAATTAAAGAACTAAATTATTGGTGATCAGACATTGAGTTATTGTATAATCACCTGGCTGACTGTGGGGGCCTGGGACTTTCGGACATGTCTTCACATTTAGTGTCACTAGCTTTAGGACTAGAAACTGAGATGGGGCTTGATCTGGCGGGGGGCGCAGGACTTGCTTCGGCAGCTGGACTAGCTCTGACGGCGGCGGGACTAGCGGCGGCGGCGGGACTGGCGGCTACGGCTACTGGACTGGATACTGTTACAGGACTGGCTCTAGCGCTGGAGTTGAGAGCAGGGCTAGCCCGAGCAGGGGAGTGGTGGGAAACAGCTGGGCTAGCTCGTTCTAAAGGATTCTCAATAGGTAGGGATAGGTTGGTGGAGGCGGGGGAGTTAGTGACGGGGTTAATGGCGGGGCTCTGTCTTGCTGTAGTCTCCTCCTCCTGCTTCACTCCTGAAGTAGAGGGGACGTTCTGTTGCTGTTGTTGTTGCTGTTGTTGGCCTGCCATCTCTTCTAATCCTGAAAATTTGCATTCGTTAGCTTACAATCGCGTGTGCCATCTCAACAAGTCAACCAAACATTTTAAAGATTACAATTAAATTCCAGCTGTAAGTTGTTTGAGACCAGTAAGAAACTTACTAGCTAGCTGAGCTACGAGCTGTAGTTTCTGAAGAGCTCCAATATCCTTCTTCTCGATGGCATTCTGCTGAGAAGCCGCCAGGAGCTGCAACAATATCTGCTGTTGTCCAGCTTCAGTCTGCTGAGATGCTAACAGCTGCAGGATAGCCTGCTGTTCCTTAGGCTCCGCCTGCGAGAGGATGGCTTGCAGTATAGCCTGTTGCTGCACCAAGTTCTGTTGTGTCAGCAGACTTTGTAACAGCACCTGCTGCTGCTTAGGGTCGTTCTGCTGAGCTAGCAGAGCGTGGAGGAGCAGTTCCTGCTGCTTCGCTTCCACAGTCTTGTTGTCTCCGTTGTTTAGTATCTGTTGAGCGTACAAGGCTGCCACTACTGGGTGCACACCTGCCTGTCGCAGTGCGAGCTCTTGCTGAAATTAGGCAGTTTGATAGTTCTGTGCTGGGGAGAGCCTAGCAGGTAGCAAACGTCACAACACGGATAATTACAATCCGGATACCATGAAGCAAGGTTTATTACTATCGTTTAATTTCTCAGGAAATAGTTGCTGAGAAGAAAAACGGTATTTATATGAATGAATAAAGAGTTAACTGAAAGTGGTCAGAATTCTGGGAATAAAAGAAAATGAAAGATGGCAGATTTACTTTCTCTTTCTCTTTCTCTTACCTGTTGAGCGATCATAAGCTGAGCAGCCTGTTGTTGTAACAGTAACTGAAGTGCCATCTGTTGTTCTTGTGAAACTTGCTGAGATCCAATCAGCTGCTGAAGCTGTGCTACCTGCGCTAACTGCTGGTTCGCGTTCCCACCTAATGGAGTAATCAATTAATTATGCGATTAATTAATTATGTGATTACAGCATCATTACCTTATATGGTATGATAGGGTAATCTTGTATCGATTCGCTGACCAAATATGGGATTATTAACGTACCTTACTTATGAATGGCAATGTGGTATTGACGAGTGATGACTCATGACAATTGACATCATTGACTTACAGATGTATAAAACAGATGTATAATGTGTTGTACACTTAACACGTGACACAGAGGGTAATGAACAGGATAGAATAATATTAATGGTATATTTCTGCTGTGACTCAAGACAAAGTGCGAGGTGAATAATATCATTTGCAGTGTGTACTTCGGGGAGAAAGTTACCAAACAAAAATAACGCTGATACTCATGATCACGGCAAGATGATGAATTTGAAATATGCAAATTATGCAGATGGTAAGTTCTAAATATGAAAATTATTATGGCTAGTTACATTCTCTGCGTGTAGGTATTGAAAAATTGGAAACTGTTCGGGCGAGTTTGTTATTGTCCGCGTTACGTTCAAGGTACAACAGTCACGAATATAATGATGAGGTTTACACTGGTCGAGCTTTGCAGCAGATAGCAGGCTTTAGTTTCTGTTTAAACGATGGGGAAAATATTTTGTTTCTCTTAGATTCACAGAAGCACATTCTAAGAAATTATATTAGGGTTAAAATGTGACACACATTTGCAACATACCGGTGAGCTGTTGTAGTAACTGAGGGTTGGAGTAAATCATGAGGAGTTCAGGGGTGATCTGTCCTCCAAACATCTGAGATAGTTGAGACAGCTGGGAGTTACCCTGCAGGGCAACCTGAATCTGGGACATGATCCTCTCCCGTTCCGCTGCCTCCAGGTGAGCCTTCAAGTCGGAGAGTTTAGTCGTGGCGGTGGCACAGGGTTGCCGGGGTAACAGGTTGAACCAGGGTCGGGGTTTAGGTTGCTGGGCGGTGGCAGCGGCCGTTGAGCCACCATTCATCTGACCCTTCAGCAGCATCTTTTGTAGCTCCTCAGCTGCGTTAGCTTGTAGCAGCTTCTCGAGATTCTGCTGTGCTTGCTGGGAGAGATTTATTGTTAGCTTACAAAGTTAATCATAACATAAACTGAACTTAGCAAAACTCGCATTATCATATCTGATTCTACTAATACGAGCATATTTCTTAAAAACAGCACCTCCAGGCCCCAGTACGGGCCCAGTACGCACCTGATGCTGGATGAGCTGCTCAATCCTGGTATTATCAACAGTGCTCCTGGCTTTAGGGGGCCTGCCCCGCTTAGCCACAGTGTTGATGATGTGGTTATTGGAGCTTGCAGCAACTGCTACAGGGATTTTAGCTGATGAGGAAGAGGGGCTCATTCCTCCAAGAAGGTCCAGACCTTGCTGCTGGCGCTGCTCCGCGTAGTTTAGGAGTTTTATCTCTTCAGAACTGGGTGCGTTGTAGCTTATCTTATCCATTTCTAGTTCTACGAGAGGAGGGTCATGTCAGTTGGAGACATTAGCGGGGATACAACAATCCAACTAAAATCAGAATTACAAACAAGGCTAGATAATTCTCAAGAAATAACAGATATAAAAACATGAAAAATTCAAATACTTACCAATAAATCTGCGTTTTCTGTTGAGTCCCTCAACGTAAACACCTCCAGCATGGCCCAACAGCCAGTACTGCCTCCGGTACCTGTCCTGTCCCAGCGGCATGGTCCTCAGAGCACTGCCACACTTCACTATCTCGCTACTCATCAGGGTGTGCTTCTTTGTTAGTTTCTGGTAGTACTTATCCAGCTCTTCAGTAGACATGTTCTCGGTGGGTAGGTAGTTTATTGGAGTGTTCTGGAGAGAGGGGAGAGAAGGGTTAGACTACTCAGGGAGCATGTGATAACAGCTGGACAAGGAACTAACAAATGGTACGGATAACAACTGAGGTTGAAAGAGAGCCACAAAATCTTAGAAAGGTCTCAGGTCAATTATTGTAAGAAATGAAGCAATATGCTATTTAGGAACACAGGAAATTATGTAATATAGAAACTGGGAAATGACTCAATAACAGGAGTTGTAATGTGGCTACTCTTACCATATCAACTGTCTCCTCTACCGGTACCTCAACCTCGTTCTCCTCCTCGTCAGACTCCTTCTTCTTAGGATCAGTTGGAGGGGTGCTCTCTTTAGGTTGGGGTGTGGTGGTGGACGTGCTCCTGTTGTCTAGATCATTATCTGGTCGGGCTTCTAGCAGTCTTATCCTGGGGAGTGAGACCTTTGGTGAGGTTTAGTAGGTACGGTGAGGTTTGGTGAGGTTTAGTAGGTACGGTGAGGTTTGGTGAGGTTTAGTAGGTACGGTGAGGTTTGGTGAGGTATAGTAGGTACGGTGAGGTTTAGTAGGTACGGTGAGGTTTTGTGAGGTTTAGTAGGTACGGTGAGGTTTTGTGAGGTTTAGTAGGTACGGTGAGGTTTTGTGAGGTTTAGTAGGTACGGTGAGGTTTGGTGAGGTTTAGTAGGTACGGTGAGGTTTTTTGAGGTTTAAACGACATGGTGAAGTTATGTTGGGAGGTTTTGTGAGAAATCTTTCTTTACTTTATTTTACTTGGTTACACTCTCACACTAATTAAGATATTCGTTGTAAAGAGACAGAACTTTATTTCACAACAATACTAAAAATTCAAAGTATCCCTGAAATTCTGTGAGTTCGGATTCGGAATCCCTGAGATGCACAGCGAACATAGCGCAGTACTTAGAGACGAAACCCTACAGCGGATATTGTAAGTAGCGATACAATTTTCTTGAAGGGAACCCCCACAAATTCCGGCAGCGTGATTACCTAATACCGTAATAATGACTCACTTTCTTATCTGACATTCCAGATTCCACTTCTCTTTCCTCAAATTATCTATTTCCGTCTGACTATCGTCTAGTTTGGTGGCCACCAGGGAACTACTGAGCAGCTCGTTACAGATGTGTCCCATGAGAGAGGCTTTCTGAGAGGGTTTCAGGCACCAAACAGGAACTGTCTGCATGGTAATAAGACTGTCCTCGTCCTCCCAGGTAGTAGCTATCTGGTACAACCTGACAACCTCCGTCAGGGTGTTCTCTGAGAGTTGCACTGCTGTCAGACTCTGCCCTGTTGCTGTCTTCGGCTGTGAAATAACAGACAGTTTTAGAGGGAAATCTGTGAAATAACAGACAGTTTTAGGGGGAAATCTGTGAAATAACAGACAGTTTTAGAGGGAAATCTGTGAAATAACAGACAGTTTTAGGGGGAAATCAGTGAAATAACAGACAGTTTTAGGGGGAAATCTGTGAAATAACAGACAGTTTTAGAGGGAAATCAGTGAAATAACAGACAGTTTTAGAGGGAAATCTGTGAAATAACAGACAGTTTCAGAGAGAAATCCGTGAAATACCAGACAGTTTTAGAGGGAAATCTGTGAAATACCAGACAGTGAAATGAAAAGGGTTATAATGATAGTGACAGGTCCCATAATTTGTGGTAGTAGTTGCTCCTCAGATTGAATGTATTCACAGGGATTCAATACTCCAGTAATTAAGAGACCGCTAGTGTTACACGCGCCCAGGTTAGTACGAATCCATTATATGAGTTTACGTGATGACGTCACGTGATAATCCCATGACGTCACGTGACTGTAAATCTGAGTTCGTCACCCTCACAATTTTAGAACAAATTCTATCTGTATCTAGATGTAATTATTATCCTCGTATCAGGGAGTGCTTGAGAGGCCAAGGGGTTTCAGTGCTACAAAACCGGGGCAGAAAAACAAAGGGAATTTGAGAATTTGGAGAATAAAGTGTTAGTGATATTCTACACACCGTTTTGGACTGTGGGAAGCCCGGATCCTTCATAGCAACTTGAAGGAGCTCAATAAGGAGCTGAATAAAGTACTCCTTTTCTTCAGGAGCCTGGTTGTTGAGGATAGCACACTGCAGCTTGTTGACTGTAGGTATGTTCTCTATCTCAAGTATCTGGAAATGTTAATTGTAATAGATACACTACTAAATCACTGTAAAACTTCATTATGAGTATAACGCTACTTTATCTTTTACAGAGAACCCGACTAAGAAAGGGATCTAACTTACTGTGACCTGTAATAAATGTAACTTTTTTTCTATCAAAACGAGATCTTTATTTATATCACCATTGCAAAAACATCTAATTTAATTCTATTAAGTAATTTCTATATTTAATAAGAGCCTTTTCCTTGTCGCATCAAACGGGATCAATAGAAATTTGCCCAAGAAAACATTTCAACTACCTTACTCGGGATTATTACGACGGGTTTATTAACGACCGGTTAAAATATGGTTAGGGAAAAATATGGCGAAATTGCTCAAAACCCACCACATTTTCCCGGTCGCCATTTTACCGGTGTCCAACCTTTCAATTTTAGATTCAAAAATTTTGTCTCAGATGTAAATTTCCTTATTAGAGATAAGCAAGTTTAGAAATTTTCGCATTGCTAAAACTTGTGAAACAAGTCGAATTATCAATAATTGTTCAAAGTAGACAGAAATAATGACTCGTGGTTAATCAAACTAGATGGAAAATAATTTTTAACATTTGAAGCGTAACAACCAGATCGATATTAAGATAAAGGGAGAGCTGTTTAGTCTTCCAATAAGTTTTAATCATCTTCGTTATCTTCATCTGGATCATCCCTTTCATCAGTTTTAATTAATTCAAGTTTTAATTTAACTGTTACTTTTACTTTGAGTCCTATTTCATTATGTAGAGCTAGTCAATACCTAAGAAATTAAAAATTGGCCTATTTAAATCAAATTTGACAATAAGGATATATGACAAGAATTGGGCAAAAAGGTGAATTTTTTGCAATTTTAGCCAAATGAAGTCGAAAAACCTACAACAAGTGTCCCAATAGTCTTCTTTAGTGAATATAAGACAACGATTAAAATATGAGCACCCATACCCCTTGGGAACCCTAAAAGCTGAGTAGGCGGGTTTATTAACGACCGGTGAAAATGTGGTTCGGGAAAAATATGGCGAAATTATCCTAAACCCACCACTTTATCCCGGTCATAATAATCCCGAGTAAGGTATGCGACTCATAAATAATATTCCAATCCGGATTTTACATTCAATAAGTCTAAAATATATTTCTTGAACTGACCTCCCCAAAAGCATGCAGGAACTCCACGATCATGAGAACGTCAGCGAAAGCGTCCTCGCTCACCGCACAGTTCTCGAACCGGGGTAAATCTGGAAGGGGCTTACTGTCTGTCAACTCGAGATCTTCCAGCGGCTGTGAGTAAAGACAAGGTTAGATGGGGACGTTTTCTGGTTTGCAATTTCCAACAGCTTTGAATCTGACTACAGAAAATGAAACAACTTGAGATCTGTCCTCAGTTAATAATAGTGACCAAGTATCGGAGGAATATTATATACAGCAGGAGTAAGAACGTGTGTACGATAAATATGACGTTACAAGTTCGTGAGGAGTACTGATTCGAAGAGATAAGGTATTTGATTCATGAGGTAGAAATTTATTGTATGGTATAATAAGGGGGAAGGACGGAAATTCTAAATAAATAGCTCACTTAACAGCCTAGCAACAAGATTTTACTTCAGATAAAAAACTGACCTTCTTGATAACAGAGAGGACCTGCATCTCGAGGTCGCGTTGTTCTCGCCGCGCCTGCTCCTCGCGCGCCATGCGTACCAGTCTGTTCTCTTCCAACTGTAGCCGCTCTGCGTACTGCATTTGTAGCTCCTGGAAATATGGAGGGGTTAACTGGATATCCTGTAGTTCCTGGGAACACGAGAGGGGAAGTCTCTCAAGAGGGTGGAATTACAGATTTGAGGATATGCAGAAAATAAGGGAGGATTGTTGAGGTAGCTGGGGTTAGAGGAAATTCACAGCTACATTACTCAACACTGCAATTATCAGAGCTTTACTTAATCACTGATACTCATTAATCAATTACTAATTAAATAATCCATTACTAATTACACAATATCACGTACCATAGCCTCCTTCTCTTTCCGCTCCTCCAGTGACTGATTATACTGCGCCTGTAACTGTATCAGCTGCTTCTGTAACTCACGCTCCTGCGGCAAAACCTTCGTTATTCGCGAGGCAGACTTACTGGTACCCTTATTATAAGGGGTCCCACGGTGATCAGATCATGTCACCAATTAGTGACGTATAATTAGTGATGTGATTCATAAGTAGAATTTAATTGAACTAGAAATGGGATAGATATTGGGTAGAGTTCACATGTCAACTCTGTACATCATAGCGACAAAACCTTGATTGATCAAATCATAATTAATTACCATAATCATGATATTTAAGATGACAAGAGGAAACAAGTCTGAGGGAACACGGCAGGGTGATGTAACGGCTTAGTCTGACTATGACTAAATACTAGATATCCATCATTTACTCGCTGTTTTATTCACCGTCAAACGCTTCTAATTACATAAAGTTCATCATGAAATTTGAAGCATTTAGAAAATAATAGTTCTTAAGTCGTTACATTCCCCAGTAAAGTAAGTTACATCGAGTGAGAAACAATTTCTTAAAAAGTAAACCTCTGACAGAAAGGAGGCACAGACTCTGACCATGCACAGAAAGGATAAAACCAAAGTTTCATAAAGCACAGACACAATCAACGGTGAGAATATCCCTTACAACATATCCCTACAAAACTAAAGGGTCGTGAGTGACCACGTGACCACGAGTAATGACCACGGGACCACTCATTTCACGGCTTGTACCACGTGGGAACGTTTTAATAATGTACTTTTCAACTGTTCAGGTTTATAAACACGTTCTAGAACGTGTTTATAAAGTGTTTATGAACACTTTATACTCACGTGTAATGTAAGCACTTTATAGACACGTGCAATGTAAAGTGTTACAACTGATTGCTACCACTAACTAACACAGAACTACAGCGAGAGAGAGTGTTCAAATAACACAGTTACCACACGATATATAACACGAGAGTGAACAGCGGGAGGGAACATTAGACAGCGGGAGAGAATGTCGGTTAACTGTGGAGCTCACAGCAGTATATGAAGTCTATCACGCAGAACTGAAAAATTCTACAAATTAGACTGTAATAATGTGCCTGCTTTCAGGCCAATAATACCATATTTGAGGTGCTCATTGTTTGGAGATGGTCGACACATCTCGACACTGTTAATTACAGTACTACCCCGTCCTGTACTACAATCTCCAAAACAAGCCCCCAGAGATTGTAACTTGACAATTCCTATAATCTCGACACTCCACAACCCTGTTAATTACAATACCACCCTGTCTTGTATGACAGTCTCGACATCATAATTTTAAAAATGTTAATCACGATACCCCGCCCAAGAAATAAGTAGCCAAATGCGACTATGAAGAGCCGAGAGAGGAGGATTAGCAGGGTACTTTCCTAGTTTATTGTGGTACAACAATCAACATGCTCTGATTGCGCGGCTCGACAATACAGCTTGAAACAACACTTGCTCCTTCACAAATAAATCTGCTCCTACACTATTCCTCTACACTCTAGTTGTAAACCACTTATTACTAACACTATGTGTGCACGATCACGGAGCCAAGAGAAAGACAAGCCATCACTAACGTAGACAGCCTTTGATCTAATACAGGACTGAATAACACTAGGAAAATTGGAGGTTATGGCGGATAGAGTTGTATGGAATTGGTTAAAAGAGAGTTAAAGTTCGTAATGGCTATAAATAGGGAATATAGAATGGAACTATTGAGCTCGAGAGTGAAATTGGAATGATATTTATTACGTGCGTTCCACTCATAAGCCCAAAAACAGCCTAATTCGAATCCTCCTTACTGAGATACGATAAGCTGGTAGGATTTTTTACAAAAACAGTATGCTACAAGTACAAAGAAAAACAGACATAAGACAATTTCTATTGAAGACAAAAACAAAGGGACTAATTATAATTCACGATTCACATTTCACATGTATAGAATAAGACCAATAGGCTAATATGCACACAAAACATCCGACATATTCATCTGTTATCGCTAATTCTCTTCTACAATTCAACCGCATGCTTCAACTAAACTGTATTTCTTTCGCACTTCCCCAGTTCTACACAGTGCAACATGCTCTGATTGCGCGGCTCGACAATACAGCTTGAAAGAACACTTGCTCCTTCACAAATAAATCTGCTCCTACACAAAACACGTTCCTTACCTTATCGTGCATGACGGAATTGTAGAGGTCGATGGAGGGCGAGGGAGTCTTGGCAGGGTTGCTGTTGTTGGTTGTTACTACAGGGATCTTGGGACTACTGATGGGGCCGTGATGGTTGTTCTGTTTGGTCCCAGAGGAGGTGATAACTGCTATACGAGACATGGAGCTCTCCTTAGTCACCTCCTAGAGGGAAACAGGTTAGTTCACAGGTTAGTTCACAGGTTAGTAAAGGAGTTAGTTCACAGGTTAGTTAAGGAGTTAGTTCACAGGTTAGTTCACAGGTTAGTTCACATGTTAGTTCACAGGTTAGTTCACAGGTTAGTTCACAAGTTAGTTCACAGGTTAGTTCACAGGTTAGTTCACAGGTTAGTTCACAGGTTAGTAAAGGAGTTAGTTCACAGGTTAGTAAAGGAGTTAGTTCACAGGTTAGTAAAGGAGTTAGTTCGCAGGTTAGTTCACAGGTTAGTTCACAGATTAGTTCACGGGTTAGTTCACAGGTTAGTTAAGGAGTTAGTTCACAGTAAATGTGTTTGGTGATGTTGTAAATATATGGATCACTGTTGATGTACTAGATGATGATGTAATGAATGGCGTGTCTAGCCACTGCATTTTATTTCTAGACACTGTAAAACTATAGTTATATTTCAGTTTGTTCTATTTTCAATTCTAGTCTGTGTAGAAAGAGAGACATGCGAGGCCAACAGGTTCGGGACAATTTGATAAACTTTCACTGTCGACAATGAGTCAATATAATTGTTCTCACGAATTGTTTTCCACTCAGATAGAAGCCCTTAAAAACACAACAATTAAAAATAAACAAAAGCCGCGAATCAGAAAGTTATACTCAATATACATCAGAGTTTCCACGGAGATTACAACCAAGCAAAGCAAGACTCGAGATAGAGAGAAGAGAACGGAAGAGAAGGAATATATATATTAACGTAAATGAAGCGCCCTGAAACTCTGACAGTCAGTGGCGTGAACGAGCTCTGAAAGTGATAGAGCGCCCGGTGACAGACACACATTTACCTGCTGCCAGAGCAGTGTGATCGACATATTATTATTATATCATGGTCGGTAGTACGGTCATTAATCGGGGATAACTTTACTTATTACCAATGTTTGTTTTGGGCGCTGTTCACTGCCAATGGTTACACAAATAAAAGTTTTAATTCTTTATGATGAGAATGTAGAAGTTTAAGTGTGGTGGTTACTGACACACACGGTTCAGAGACTCTCTCTATCTCTCTCTCTCTCTCTCTCTCTCTCTCTCTCTCTCTCTCTCTCTCTCTCTCTCTCTCTCTCTCTCTCTCTCTCTCTCTCTCTCTCTCTCTCTCTCTCTCTCTCTCTCTCTCTCTCTCTCTCTCTCTCTCTCTCTCTCTCTCTCTCTCTCTCTCTCTCTCTCTCTCTTCAGAGTCACTAATGATCCAGGCAGACTAGCAGTGTAACTTTCATAAACTTCATTATAAATAACAGCAGCCAACATCTAGTTCCTCCAGATCCCCCTCCAGATATAGTTCCTTCAATCTCCAGCAGCGAGGCTGCCAGCAAAAGGGGAAATAACGCGGAAGCTATAACTATGAAGATATGCAAGCAGCAAGATGAGACGGCCACTGTCGGACGCCAGGCACAGACTCCACAACACAAACTGAAAGTCAACCGGGCTCTAGTATCCAGTCTAGAACAGCAGGTATAGATAGACACCAAGTGTCAAATATAATGCTCGGTAACACCCAGCAACAAAGACTGTACTGTAAAACAAAATTACTGTTCGCAAACCTAGAGTAAAAGCTAGAGAGAGAGAGAGAGAGAGAGAGAGAGAGAGAGAGTGAGCACTGCCCGGAGCTATCACGAAAGATAGTAATCGAACACCACATTAGAAAGTACATAATTTGTTTTTGCCGTTAATGAGTAAGAGAGAGAGAGAGAGCTGTAGAGAGTGATGCTAGAAAAACGGAACTGATTTAAGTGTTAAGGAGGAGATTGAAACAATCAGAGTATAGATAATAGGTATAATATATCACTGTCGTGGAGCTATCTAGCGAGGTCAGGTCATATAATGGTACATAACATAAAATATTGCTATCTTAATTCTTATCTCACATTTATTGTACACTCGCACTGTCGTGGTACAATATTTCAGTGTTTCAACGGTGTGACATGACCTAGATTTACGGAGCAACACTGTATTATTATAATCAGATCTTTCGTCAAATTCTAAATAACGTGGATACATGAATATATATAATATATCGGGCGATAATGATGTTGAGGTGCTACTACTGTCAGATAATTACTGATACATCGCCCGATAATGAGGATAATAAGCCAGTGTTATAGGTGAGAAGGAAAGTTTATCATCTCATAAATGAAATATATGGCTAATGAAAGATGTGGTAAATGAAATATATGGCTAATGAAAAATCTGGTGAATGAAATATATGGCTAATGAAAAATCTGTGAAAGATCTGGTAAGTGATGATGAAGTATGTGGTAAAAACTCTGAATTGTCTGATCTTACCTGATCTCTCCTCAGTTGTTCCTCTGCCGGCTTTCTCTCCGATCCTAAAACAAAGTAATAGGTTAGACTTCAGACATGAAACTAGGCACGGTATCAGTCTCCAGCCTAGAAGAAACCAGTCGGTCTAGATGAAACACGACATGGAAACCGCACCAAAATATCACGTGGTCTTGAATTGTACCAATGAAAATGCTTGGTTCTATCACGTGGCATGGTTCACAGTCATATAAATAGGATCATTGACCAGTTCAATAGTCTGAGCTCAATAAACAGAACACCTTACACCATACAGGATGGAGCAAGAGGAAGGAGTAAACGATAAGAGCCTTTAATTTAGGGGTGCCGGACGAACTATTTTGGGGCCATTACGTTATCTTCACGGACACATCTTGTCCAGTGCGGATCTATATAGCTCAGTATAAAAAGGGTGTGATCAAACATCGTGTTCTATTTCTAGAATTTTCAGAACTTTGTTTATCTCCCTTTTCTCAATTGTTATCTTCTATCAGAACTCACTAGCCAAAACTTATGATATGTTGTAATTAAATTGGTAAGTTAATAGTATAATATCGAGATCCTCACCTTTCTGAATGACGGGCTCGTGTTTAGCCTCGTTAAATGACAGAGGAATTGTCTGCATTGTACCAAGAGGGCTCTCTGTCCTCCGTTGTTGCGTCTCCACTGCTTTCAACTGGGCTTCCATTAACTGTTGCGTCTCCACTGCTTTCAACTGGGCTTCCATTAATTGGTGTGTCTCCACTGCTTTCAGCTGAGCCTCCATTAATTGTTGCGTCTCAACTGCTTTCGACTGGGCTTCCATTAATTGTTGCGTCTCCAATGCTTTCAACTGGGCTTCCATTAATTGTTGTGTCTCCACTGCTTTCAGCTGAGCCTCCATTTTTTGTTGTGTCTCCACTGCTTTAAGTTGTGCTTCCATAATGTGTTGGGTCTCCATTATTTGTTGTGTCTCCATCGCTTTCACATGAGTCTCCATTGCCTTCTGTTGTGTCTCAATCTGCCTCTTGATCATCTGTTCCTCTGCTTTTTGTTGTATCTCCTGCATTCTGTGAAGTTGCAGTAGCTTCTTCTGTTTTATCTGGTCCAACTGAAGATGGCTAGTGTTAGTGAGGGATAAAGCACAATGGAGATGTCTAGCAGTTTGTGACTTAAATTTGTAAGCAGCGACACAAACCTGCAAACGTTTTTTAATTAATTTACATAACAGAGGTTCAGTAAATAATTCACTGGTTATTTTCAGTAGTTTTTAATCACAATTTTAAACTGATCGCCAGAATAGTTCCAAAAAGGTCTTACTCCATTCTTTAGAGTATGTCCAGTGGAAGCGATTTACAATTACTTACCTTGATTTGTTTCTTAGTCTCCTGCTCTTGAAGTCGAAGTTGTATAACATCGTCCGGAATCTTTACGTACTGACCCGTATTCTAGGGGAGGGGAATTTAGAACCAATCATCAGTCATCTTATGTTTAACATAAACTATGTCCATACTCATATTATATTATATAAAATATACCCATATTCATATTACAGGGTGGGCCATAAGTCAGTACCCATACGTTGGCCTTTATAGCTCAGTCACTGAGTGCCCAATTTAAATACTTCTTTCTGGTATGACTTAGTACCACCACTGGTTCGAGGAATTTGTCAACTCGAAAAATATTCGCGTTCATTTTTTTCAAATGGAGGTTCATTTTCACATTTATTTGATAATTTGGATAGTCGGATCAAGCTAAATGTTATTGAATTGTGTTTGGCCATTCGAATTACGTTTGTCCTGAAAGAATTAGAACTGTACCTTCTCAGATGACCGAGATATGAAGCATAACGAGTTTATTCATTACGTGTGATCAGGTGATTGGTTTACCTAATTACGTGATAAGGTGCCCCCGTTAACTACCCCGTTAAACATTATGGGAATTGTTAAGGGTGCCCAATTAAGGTGTCGTGTCACGGTGTCACATAATCACCCAGTCAATATTGTTAACGAGATACAGAAAATGCTTGATAACTTCGTCATTTCTAATCCGTTTTGCCTCATGTTTTTAGATCATATGCAACATTTGATAATATACCGTCTCTGAAAAAATTAGGCGTTCAGCATGTTCAGAGAAAACAATATAGGTGTTTTAATATTGAATGGGCGTGGTCTAAAATATTCGAATTTTTAAATTTTGACGACGGAATCCTCGAACCAGTAAGTACAGTATGCCATCTGCAAAGCAACAGCTCTCAAATATAAAACACGGCGGAGCTATTAAGGCCAACGTATGGGTACTGACTTTTGGCCCACCCTGTATATTAAATAAAATATGCCAACCCCAGTGAATCTCTTACAGACAGTTTTTTGAAATATTGAAGAATAAACTCATGTTCTGTGGTTGTAATTTCGTTTAAAGTAGGGAGATCGGTGACGCACTATATACTATAATACGTGTGATTATTCTGAAAATCGTTTATAATTCTGACAGTTATTACTCACAATATCCTGCTGAAAGTACTCTCCCACTGTAACGCTGTTACTGAAGCTAAACTGTTCCAGCTGCACGTTGGCGATAGCGTTCACTTGTAGGTACTGAAAATAGAGGTGATTTTTAGTGGTTATTTTATCGGATAAATTTCCAGTGAAATATTCAACTGTAATGATTTTTTTGTGGGGTAGTGGACAAAATCTTTAACTATGTATAATCAATCTGTGAACTGTAATCAGAAATGCACATTGCTACAATAAATAAATTAATATCTTATATTTAATTACTTATGATTATTAATTAATAGCTTATATTCTAAATTAATAACTTATATAAATTAATAACTTATATTGAATTAATTATGATTATGACGGATATTTGCACGCGAACACACGTTTAGTGACCGTATGTTAAATAATGAATATAAAGCCGTCTACACCAGTATTAACACTCTCCGATCAAAGATGTAACACACAAAAAAAGCTATAACAGCTTAATATGTAAATTCCAAGATATAGCTAGCACTTAGCGAAAGCTAAATCACAGTGCAAGCCTCTGCACTGGATTCACAAACTATGGCTCATATCTCGCTGATACTATCTTTAGTATCTATATATTATATAACATCGTAACACACTACCAAGTTGTCACTACTCAATATTGTAATTGCTTGTTAATGAGAACGAGGCCGGCTCAGCCTGTCATTCGCTACTCAGGGGATAATAAACACGTACAGCTTCAATATATCATACCAGACCGGGGGAGGGGAAAGTTTGTCAAATTCTTACTTCTAAGTCTGCCTTTTTCCATGAATTACTTTCAGCGCTTTAAAATTTCACTAGACAACTATTCGCTGACAAATATTAAGTTCAAAGAATTGAAAAAACCGCAACTAACTCCTCTTATTTAAAAACTGGGCACGTCCGGCAAATTCCGCTGCAAAGCTTCCGGAATTTGAGGAGAACGCACCGGGTACCCACAATTTCACGAGTAAATGCAAGGGCCACTAGTCTTCCGCCTTCTCACTATTATTATTACGGGGTGCAAACTGCAAATACCTAAGGTGGTAAAAATTAATTCCTCACCTTCTGAACGTCGTTGTAAGTGCGGAGTTTCTTGAGGCAGGGAGCGATGTACAGCACCTCGCCCCTCAGACCTCCACTGTTACCGCCCATACCTCGCTTTATCCTGATGTGTCTCTGCCATCTGAGCAGGGGTCAAGGTGTGAAGGTGTGTTAGTTAAATATATAAAACGAGTGTTAGTTATGTGTGAGATGCGTGTTAGTTATGTATTTATAGTTAGTTAATAGTTATGTATTTAAAGTCAGTTATGTATTTTTGGTTGTGATAAAATTATACTGTTTTATACAACAGCATTATTATTTTATCAATTAACGTCAACGCCTTTATTTAGTTTTGAATCGCAAAGGTTCCACAAATAACATAGTCATCACCATAGCAACGATGAGTTGTATTTAGTTTTGAATCGCCAAGGTTCCACAAATAACATAGTCATCACCATAGCAACGATGAGTTGTATTTAGTTTTGAATCGCCAAGGTTCCACAAATAACATAGTCATCACCATAGCAACGATGAGTTGTATTTAGTTTTGAATCGCCAAGGTTCCACAAATAACATAGTCATCACCATAGCAACGATGAGTTGTATTTAGTTTTGAATCGCCAAGGTTCCACAAATAACATAGTCATCACCATAGCAACGATGAGTTGTATTTAGTTTTGAATCGCCAAGGTTCCACAAATAACATAGTCATCACCATAGCAACGATGATTTGTAAAATACCAAAAATACTCAGAACATGGTCTCATGATCCTAGGCTCACAATGAGGTACCATTTAGAGCGTGGTGGACAGACCAACCCAACATTGAAGTATCTTATGGTACATATTTATTATTCAGGCAAGGCTGGTTTTGGTGCTTTCCAAAGAAAAGTGGTTGTGGCTGTTGAATAAGCTTAGTTTGTGCTTTATTTTTAATTGGATAATGTTTTTGCTGATTATTTTTTAACAAATTCGGCGTCCACTCGTATTAAGAATAAAGAACTTAATTCTCTTATTATATATTATATATATGGATCATTCAGCTTATTTTAAATCAACCCTCGAATTTGCTTTAAATGTAGTTGTGCTCTAAGTGTAAACCAATACCCAAAAACAAAGTGTTTCAGTCTAATTTCAGGGCAGTATTTCTAGCAGTACCCACAAAGAAAGGCGGCAGCTTGAGTAAACCAATCCACCAAATGAACCTAATATTGGTCCTGGTAAGATTTCTAATAAAGGAAGACATCTGACAATGTGCCTCACCGAGGGAGGCCCACAGTGCAGTTATCATTCCAAATCATGTTTTTGGCCCATATTTTCACAGAAATGTAGTCCAGCAGGGGCAACCCATCCTGAATTTCCAAAATATGGCCTTCTAGAATGTTAAGCAGAAGGCAACTCACCCCAGCAGGGCCACCCATCCTGAATTTCCAAAATATGGCCTTCTAGAATGTTAAGCAGAAGGCAACTCACCCCAGCAGGGCCAGCCATCCTGAATTTCCAAAATATGGCCTTCTAGAATGTTAAGCAGAAGGCAACTCACCCCAGCAGGGCCACCCATCCTGAATTTCCAAAATATGGCCTTCTAGAATGTTAAGCAGAAGGCAACTCACCCCTGTGTAAGTGGAAGCTGGGCGTCCTTCTCGCTAACAGCCTGTCTCTGCCTCTTCCTCCTACCCAAGCCTGATAAGTTGGATACAGTCTGGTCGTGAAGACTCTGGGAGAACTCCGTGGAGTCCGGCTGGCTGCTTGAGTCCGAGTAACAGTAATCCTGGGAATTAAACAAATTAGGGGGTTTATATGGAAATCTATTTACACCTATAGCAAAATATATTTAAACTCTGAGAATATCAATTTTTTTTCATAAATCAAATAGTCAGGGAATTAAATCCTAAAGTATGCCTCTTAGGTAGAAATTTCCACATTTTAGCTAGTCGTGCATGATTTTGTTACCATGCATCCTATCCAACCGAAGTTATGCAAAACAGGGTAGAGCACGAAGCTCGATTGAGATGATGGGCTTGCACAATCACTGAACTACTCCCTCAGCGAAGAATTAAACACTTGGGAGCCTCTCCACCTTACCTCAAAATCTGAGTTAGTGACCGCTCCATCGATCAGCTTCCCCGCATTCTTAAACACATTCCTGCCGTCGTTATCAGTAATCTCCAGTTCACTCTCGCAGTCTTCCTCATCATCCTCGTGTTCCCTCTTCAAACTGCCCTTGCTAGTCCCACTAGCTGGACTGCCACCCTTCATCCCTCCGTCCGAGTTGGGTGTGACTGATCTGGAGGTGGGTTTGGAGCTGGTCTGATCCAGGTGGAGGTCTGTCTCCATCTCCTCTGGTTGGGATGGTGAGGCTTCTGTGCTGGTGGTCGCTGAGAGGCAGGTCATGTTAAATAGCGCCGACTGTGCGTGCACTGTCAAAATTAAACACAAAGGCTTTTAAGAATTGAAAGCAAATGGATGCGATCAGCATGTATTTCAATAAATATTTTCTGATTGGTTTGATTTCCTAATACGGTCTAAACGGCCCGTGCAGCAGAATAAACCGTACTAACACAGACAATTTATATAATATGCACATATAATAGCTTCTCTCACAAAAATCTTCTTCTACAATATGGCTTCATTAAATGAGATGATTTTCATCTCCGTGCGAGTGAACAGTGAACACCTCTGAATTATTCTCATATGCTCATTATAAAACAGAGAGATATATGGGGAGGTTCACATGCTGTACCAACCTGGTTCCTCCGTGATTTGGTGGTTAGCAGGACTGAGGTTAGGACTGTTCTCCTCTTTCAGAGGGGACCCTGCTGAGGTGGGAATAGGTTGAGAGATCTTGAGGACAGGGGGCTGAGGAAGCAGAACAGCTGGAGTTGTGTCTTCTTCTTCTTCTTCTACCTCCTTAGGAGTGGTAGGTGGAGACTGGGTGTCTGTTGGGAGAAGGCGTGGACTGTATTTCTGAGGCTGAGAAGTAAGATGTTAAGTCTGAGGAATAGCCCGGTTACTTGTTAATACCTATAATTATAATAGCCCGACTGTTGATTAGCCGGGGGAATTAACAAGTTGCTTCTTCATCTGGGGGAAGTAACAAACAAGTGACATTTGTAGCCTTGTCAGTCTGACAGGATTCATGCCGCAGATTACTGAAAGTGAAAGCGAAAGTGAAAGAGATCTAACCTGATGGTGAACAGCAACTTCCATCTCCTCCGGCTCCTGATCCGGCTCCTTATCCGTCGCCTCCCCTGCTTCAATATCAGATGTATCGTCTAGCGTCTCAGCTGCCTTCTCTTCTATTACTGAGCACATGTGTCATTAGCAAAGCCCCAACATAACACAATAGAGCTCTAAACTACAACATTTACATTATTACCTCTGTGCAGTGACTAATCAGTCTGTTTGATCTCTGTTTAAAGTAGGGAACTTCATGTCTTAATTTTATCCGAGCACGGTTAAATTTCGGTAAAGTCTGTAAAGTCTACCTAGGTCTAAAAGATCTAATGTTTAAAGAAGAAGTGCAGCTGTCCAGCCCAAAGTTAGGTATCCGGCTGATTTAGTTGTTAAAATACACGGCCGGTACACACACTAAAGTACACACGAGTCACAGTTATCCTGCACTATTGTCAGCCCATTAACGGAGAATTGTGAGAGGGATAAAACAAAGCCTGGATGGTAAACGCCAAGATGTAAAGCTGGGTTTAAGGAGAATGGGTTGGAGAGACTCACAGCCTACCAGGCCACCGACTTACCAGGGTTTACTTTTGTTTGAAACAACCGTTTAAAATAGTTAATTACAAAATTGATCATGTTGATGATCGTCTCGTCATCGGCTTTTGTGCCACTTTTATGTTTTTTGGGATGGAGAGCTTGTGTGGTGCTCGATGCATGGGTTGAGAGACTCGGGGATATGTGGATTTCGATTGATCTCGATAAGATTTCTGACTGTGCAAGAGTTTGTGGAAGGATCTTGCATTAATCTGGACGAAAATTACCATGATCTAGTCTGGTTCTTTACCGAGATTAAATCCGCGTCTCTTGTAATTTTCTTAATCAGCATATGTAATTCAGTCCGAGAGTTGCTTGATCTAAAAAGCTTAGTTTAGAGTTTGTTATTACTCGCTAGTTCACGGACCAGTTCCTGCTAGCTTCCTACCACAGAGGCCCGGACGGTACAATTAGCCCTCTGATCTGGGGATAAGTCTCTATCCTCTTTTCAAACACAATGAAATGTTTTACATCACAATGAAATGTTTAACGTAACACGGAAAGGAAAATGGAAGATTGAGCTGAAATGGCCTCCAATCTGATTCAAGAGACCATGAACCAGTCACCAATCAGCATTTACGTCATGCATCAATGCTTTTCCAGTCCTGACATAGAAATAGAATATAACGGCCATTTTCCAGTATATTCTACTCCTGCTAGATTGCCTCTAATATTTGCTATTAATAGGTTTACTTGAATACTAAGAAGGCCATTATTTAACCGGCCTTTAACCGGCCTTATCCGACCTTCTTATTAGCCCAGATTTAGGTATCTAGCTCCGAGTGCCTTGTTGCAGATTACCAAGCTTATAATATCCCAGTTGATACTATTATAGACTAGCTACTTGAAAATTGTTTGTTGACATATGGCACGGTGTCTAAAGTACATGTTTCTAAGAAATGTCGGGTATTATTATGTATATATTATTATATGTCTGACTCTCCTGTAATTTTGGAATTACCCATGCAACCATACACATTGTAAATTATAATAAGCAACATTAGCTTAAACATTTTAATTAAGCAACATTAGATTAAATATTTTTAATAAGCTATTTTAGATGCACCATTTTGTGCCGTGTAGGACTGAGCAATACTGCACTACACTGCATATAACTAAAAGCTCAATTGTTCAACATGTAACACAAGCATTCGGGACCATTACATGTTAAATATTAATAGATCATACGTCACATGTTCTAATGCAATCTTAACATAAAATGTTTACTTTCAGCAGCAAATATGGGCTTCTGGGATAATATCAAGCAGAGATACGACGTGGCTTTTATCGGCGCAACATTCGCAATCGTGTTCGGACTGGCATTTATATTCTTCACAATGGTGGTTAGTGACAAGATGTTTCCAGGACGCAACTCTCCCTCCGCAAGCAATCCCACAATGGCCTCGGTGGAGATCACTGAATATAATGTTACCGCCACAAATGGGACCTTATAGGCCTCTAGGTCACTAAATAGGGCGCTTCAATACACAGTGCACCACGGGTTTCTAGGGATCACATTGTTTTCAGGTATTTCTCATTACAAATATGTGGCTACCTCTCCTCAGGTTCCCTAATGTGAGCTGACTTCTTTGATCTACAATATGTTTCTACGTGGCTACAACTGGAATAGTGATTGTAGTAGCCGAACTTATAACAACCTGTTACTCTCTCTCTCAGACTGAACTTTAAAGAATTTCAATACCCGGCCACTTCTCCCCCTCTTCAAACAACCAACTACTACTAAAACTAGCGCTTTTTCTGAAAAAACGGTTCCCAGAAAACGGTTTGCAGGAAGGATATCAGAAACACAAAATTAGTGCACATAAAACATTTGATGAACCCAAGAGAACAGCAGTTAAAAGAAAACCCGCACAGGAAATTTGAAACAATCACCGATCTATCGGGTAGCGCTAAACAAAGAGATGGGAAAAGAGAGAGCATTCACACTCTCTACTCTACTCTCTCTCTCTCTCTCGCTGAAAGGGAAGAGCTCAAACGTAACACGTAACTGAATACTATAAACAGCGTTAGCTCTGAACAATTGGGACCACCAGGTATTAAATATATTTATTATGCGGAGACAACAACACAGCACTGCTGTTGTGTTGTGTTATCAAAATATGGGGGATCGTATTAACAAGTTATTTAGCGTTGTCAGCCGACTGTGTGCGTGTGTGTTGCGGCTCCCTGGAAACTACCGACCACACATCGCTTGTTAACAGCCTGTAGAGAGCCTGTAAACAACCTGCAGAGAGCCAGTTAACAGCTTGCAGAGAGCCGGTAAACAACCTGCTGAGGGCCGGTTAACAGCCTACAGAGAGCAAGTAAACAACCGGGCTGCGACCGTTGTACCAGAAAAGTACCGAGAAATAAAAACAGTGATCAGAGCTAATTTCAACTCGCAATAACGTCACATATCACCCGTATAACCAGACCTGGTACTCAACACATACCACGGCTTACAATATAAAATACAAACTTTCTACAGATCAGGACACAAACTGTGATGACGACTGCTACAAAAAGGACAAATATATTATAATAACGGGGAACAACAGGGCGAGAGAGTGTGAGAGAGAGAGAGAGAGAGAGAGAGAGAGAGAAGAGAGAGAGAGAGAGAGAGAGAGAGAGAAGAGAGAGAGAGAGAGAAAGAGAGAGAGAGAGAGAGAGAGAGAGAGAGAGAGAAAGAGAGAGAGAGAGAGAAAGAGAGTAAATGCAACACTGTAACGGCTACTACTACTGACTATGTACAACAAACATCTATAGCACGATAGGAGTGAAATTAAAGCGAAACACCAGAAGCTTGACAAAGAATATATATATATTATATATATACTGAGAGAGAGCAGGAGTGAGTCAGAGAGAGAGAGAGAGAGAGAGCCCACAGGGTTAATATTGCACACTGACACACACCTATGAGCTAATCATATTGTGCTGATCAGGCCTGCACTCTGCAGTATGTGCAGTAGAGGGGTGGTGTTTAATGGAACTGACAGGATATTGTGTGTCACCTATTATGTTACCCCTGGTGTTGGTGTCACCCACTCCTGGTGTTTTATTTACTTGTAATGTCACCCGCTGGTAAAGGTGTAGAGGTTTTGTTGTTGTGGGATTATTACATTGTGTTATATCTGATTTCAGTTATAGCCTGTATTTCGTGAACACGGAGTTATCCGTGAATTACTATTTTGTTGTGATATGATATGTAAAGATCCTTGACGATTTAATGCAAATTCCTTTCATTATATCCATGTTTAAATATCTTTCATAATGATATATTGAATGACAAATCAAACAAGCCGGACAAGAGAACGTCAATTATGCTGGTCTAGAAAAATACAACATATTTATATATCGCTAGATTTTGTGTTCTGACAGATAGCTTTTAAATTATAAAATAGACAACTGTTGTGGAGTGTCTTTTGGGCACAGAGAGGTTATATTTTCACACCACAGTGACACATAGTTATCATGAAATATCCTGCTTCAACCCACTTTTAGCGCTTTTAATTCTACCAGATTTCACTGGACATCAGACCACGGGTTTTACTTGTCTCCTTCATAAACAGTTTCGTTGGTTAAAAAGAGACCCACAACTGTGGCGGGAAGAAGAACGAGCACAGCTAAACTAAAAACAAAGTTTAAATGAAAAGCTGCACTGAAGGTCGGGTTTCAAGCGCCTAAATGGAGAGCTCAACGAAAGTTTCAAATGTCTAAATGGATAAATAGTCCAAACCACCCCAAATTAAGCTGTCATATCATTACCACTAAACTAGTATTACTGTACTTTAACAAGTAACTGAAGCTGTCTAAAGACGTGTCATTTCATAGTTGACGGGGTTAACAGAGGACTAGGGTTTGCAGTTAGGTAATTTCTATAAACTATAAGTGGTATAAATACCAAGAGATGATTCACTCTCTCTCCGCTCTTAAACATTCCTTTGACTAACCTGACTTGACAGATAAGTCCGGGGTACGTTCTCCTTCTCTCAGTGGCTCATTATCTTCCTCCACCGCTTCTTCTTCCTCTTCTACTTCATCTACTTCTTCTTCGTCTACTTCTTCCTCTTCTTCCTCCGTTTCCATCTATGCAAGGTATCGTGTACAGCAAAATAAAAACAATAAAAAAGACGAAAAACAAATCGTTTACAGATCCACAGGTTCAACCCGTGAATATTCCATTAGTTCAGTAATATCCACAGCCAAGTACAAGAATTTCGACTAAATTTGACAAATAGCCGCGGCAATTTGAAATCAATTATACCATACCAAATATTCATAGACATTGCGGAGTTAATCCTTTGGAACATTTGATGAATTGAATAAATTTACACACCTTTTCAGGCAAGCAGGCATCTTCAGTCATCGGTTTTAAGTCTGGACTTAGTCCGTGAATCATGTTTGAATGATCCTCTGCGACCCGACTATCAGGTCGGCGGTTATCAACATAGCTGGAGAAAGACTCCGGCAAATCGAGGTCAATGCTTGGAGGTCGGGCTGGCTCAGCTTCCATGCTGTTGTCATCAGAGTGCAGCTTGTCGACCAGCTTGGCAAACTGTAACAGTTGGTCGTCCCGAGACAGCTCGGCTGGAGTGAGGGGCGGCTCATCCTCGGGAGCAACAACGTCCATGTTACCGGGGGCAGGTTCACATGTCTGAGGAGTCGGTTCTGTGTCCATGTCTTCTGATTCTGACTCAATTTTGTCAACGTTGTTTGACTTGGTGTAGTTGTCAGGAGATTGGGGCGGTTCAACAGCTGGTTCTCTCTGAACTGGCTCTCGTAGAGCTGGTTCTCTCAGAACTGATTCTCTCAGAACTGATTCTCTCAGAACTGACTCTCTCTGAGCTGACTCTCTCAGAACTGATTCTCTCTGAACTGACTCTCTTTGAGCTGGTTCTCTCAGAACTGACTCTCTCTGAGCTGACTCTCTTTGGACTGGTTCTCTCAGAACTGACTCTCTCTGAGCTGACTCTCTCTGAGCTGGTTCTATTATTGGATCTGGGTCTCTCTGAGCTGGCTTACAACCACCCAACAGAGCCTCAATCCCGTATACAGCAGGAGCTTTACTCTTAACAGTTTCCTTGCTTTCTTCAACTATAGGGGCTGGAGTAAGCTCAGACAAGTCGTCCTTCAGTAAGTCCAGCCCCTCGACGTCCTCCTCACTGTCCTTCCCCTCCTTGGCAACCTCTGTCGGCTGCTTCTCTACCTCGATTGTCAGGGCGTGGTTTTCAATATCGTCCTCTGTGGCATCCGACCACAGTTTACTTATATTAGGTGGCTCCTTGGCTGGAGAGGGTTGGTGCACGTCAGGTATAGCTAAAGGAACGTTGTCTCCAGGAGCCGGCATAAAGCTGGGAGCAGGTTTCAACATGGGCATAGCAGGTAGATTGGGTAGCTCTGGTCGGGGTTTACTGCCGAGAGTTTTCCTCTCCACGTGCTCGAGAGCGGGGGGTTGGTCGCTGTTCTCCAGTTGGGAGACCTGGTTCAGAATACTGGACAGAGGGATGTCTCTGGAGGGTTTGGGAACAGGTGCCGCTGCTGCTGATGCTGCTGGATGAGAGCTTGTCTCTTGGGAGGGCCGACGTTGGGAGTGAGCGGGAGGATCCCCGTAAGGATGAGCACTGCCAGAGTGAGGAGTTGAGGCGGAGGAGGTGGGTGGTTGAGGGTGACCGGGGTACACCTGACCGTCTGGGTAGTTGCTATACGAAGGAAAGGAGCTGGAGGTGGACCCTGCCGGGTATCTGAGCTGATTGTTCTCGTACAAGCTCGGAAACGCAGGCTGGGAGATGTGGCGTGACGGAGGAGCCGGGTCTGCTGTGCGAGACTGATGATGATTGCTAAATGTGGGGTGTTTGTCTGGCGTCTTGCCAGGTTTCACGGGGATGGGCCGGTTCATGGAGGTGTCGAGGATGGGAGGCTGGATGGGTGGCTCCCCCGCTGGGTACTGAACAGCCCCATCCGGACCGTTGTAACTGTTCATTGCTTGCTTATTGTGCGGGTTACTTTCATTCACTTCAATAGGATATATAGTTGAGCAACGTGGGTTGGGCATTGGAGAGAGGGAGTATTCAGCACCGTTTCTCACCAAATTATAAGGATAGCCCACAGTTGTTGAGGAAGATGATGATGTTGATGCACTCGAAATAGGTCCCATAGCGGGCATGTAAGGGTGACGATACGATGGGAATGCAGGAATAGGAGCAGTTTCCTCAGGAGTAGCAGGTTGTTTAGGCACCTTCGGCTCCTTCGTTTTGGATTTAGGTTTAGGAGGTGGTTTTGTAAATTGTTCTAAACTATTAGGATACGGAAAATGAGGGATATTATCCGACACGTTCTGATTGTTCCACTGCTGCTGCTGCTGCGCTTGTTGCTGAGCTTGCTGAGCTTGAGACCGATAATCAACAGGGTAGGGAGGGTGTTGCGCTTGTGCAGCTGCGGCTGCAGCAGCAGCAGCAGCAGCTGCAGCCACTTGCTGTTGTTGGAGTTGCTGCTGGTGGTACAACTGTTGTTGATGAAGGAGCTCTTGCTGGTGTTGTTGCAGTTCGCGTGTTTTCTCCGCAGAGGCGTGTTTTTGTCGCGCCCGTGCAGCTTGCTGCTGCTGCAAATGCTGTTGGTGCTGCTGCTGATGCTGCTGCTGGAGTTGTTGCTGCTGCTGCTGGAACTGTTGCTGCTGATGTAACTGAAGCTGCTCGTGGGAAATCTGAAATAGACTTACGTGAATTCGAAATATTTGTAGAAATCCTACAAAGTTTAAGGAAGTTTAAAAGGTTAAATTATAGCGCCCGAACTTGACACAGAACTTAATTATGATCTTGGTTAGCGGAATACATACATATTATGACTGCTGGAGATATATTATAGTAAATTCCTGTGAAACCACACTTCGTCAGCTCATGTCAAATGCAAGACTAGGTCAACTTTATCGCATCAATGATTACTGGTGGCAACCATGTTGATCCAATATTCCATTTAATAGAGTTTAAGACCTATATAACGTTCAAGTTGCATTTAAAGGTTTCAGCAACCCAGCATGAAATTGCAATTCGAGCCGTCCAGGTTGGCCAGATCTTGCTTATTACATCGTTTCACACGACGCTCTCTTGCAATCAACTCTATATAACCTCGTGTCCCTTTGGCCTCACACAAATGCGGCCCTACATTGCGATCGGTTAAACGTTCCGTCCAACCCCACAATCAGAGGGAATCAGACCAACTATGCATAATACCACAAGAAGTATTATAACATAGCTCTAACACTGGTATGAAGCAGACTGGGGCTTATCGAATGCACGCGAATGTGCGACCACAGACGGTTAAATTACATTAAGTGTACGCTAATATCACTATATTGGAGAGTGTGTGTTTTCTGATATGTGAGCTTGTCTCTTTGTTAGGAGAACTCTCTCAGGTAGCATATATAAATCACTGATTTAACAGATGGATAACATGCCCGCACACACCGCGAATATTTGATTACATCAAATTATATCACAGAGTATGAGAGCGGTGCTGGTTGATTCCTAATTACCCGTGGTTAATTAGACCTGAACAGTGGTTTGGGTGGTCAGAGGAGTTCAGCTTCAGTGTAATTGTCACCCACGGCCGGTGCAATGATGCAGCAAAATCAACTTCTCATTCATATTTCTAACTAGGTTAAAATGAGCTACTCAACTGGATATCATAATAGAAGCGATCAAAGTGTGTAATCCCATTTTGCCCCTTATGCTTTTTAAATGTACATGACACGCCCTATCGAGAAGGAAGTACTAAAAATGAGGGGGGGGGGGGGGGGGGAAGTTACAAATAACAAGTTACCTGACTATGTCGAGGAGGAGTGGGGGGGGGGGGCAAGTTACAAATAACAAGTTACCTGACTATGTCGAGGAGGGGGGGGGGGGGGACAAGTTACAAATAACAAGTTACCTGACTATTTCGAGGAGGGGGGGGGGGACAGGCTAAAAATAACAAGTTACCTGACTATGTCGAGGAGGGGGGGGGGACAAGTTACAAATAACAAGTTACCTGACTATGTCGAGGAGGGGGGGGGGGACAAGTTACAAATAACAAGTTACCTGACTATGTCGAGGAGGAGGGGGGGGGGGACAAGTTACAAATAACAAGTTACCTGACTATTTCGAGGAGGGGGGGGGACAGGCTAAAAATAACAAGTTACCTGACTATGTCGAGGAGGGGGGGGGGGGGGAAAGTTACAAATAACAAGTTACCTGACTATGTCGAGGAGGGGGGGAGGGACAAGTTACAAATAACAAGTTACCTGACTATGTCGAGGAGGGGGGGGGACAAGTTACAAATAACAAGTTACCTGACTATGTCGAGGAGGGGGGGAGGGACAAGTTACAAATAACAAGTTACCTGACTATGTCGAGGAGGGGGGGGGGACAAGTTACAAATAACAAGTTACCTGACTATGTCGAGGAGGTTCTGACCAGGGTGAGGGTGAGGGTGAGTCAGAAGGGAAAGCTGGCTGGGACTGAGCCGCGTACTGGGACAGGTACTGTCGTCTCGCTTTGTCGCTGTACCCATCTGGAAATAATGCTAAATTTAATACTATAAATTAATTATTAAAATAATTAATCAATTGATAGATTATGTAGGGTACATACTCAACTCTCAAGTAAGTTCCTTATCAAACAACTCAAGTTCCCATCCTATAATCTACTTCATACTTTGCTCTAAGTGTCCAATGTCATAAGTGGACTTAAACAATATGCTAATAATATGCTAATAGTTAAATAATATGCTAATAGTATGCTAATATTATGCTAATATTATGCTAATAATATGCTAATATGCTAATATTATGCTAATAGTTTGAAGTGTGGATGACCTCCCCACCAATATCAGTAATCCCACACACTCCAGTAATAATAAAAATAATGGAGAGAGCAGATTACAGACACAGGAACTAGTACTACAGTCCTTAACACCTATCACACAGCCACATCAACATTGCCTCTCTTGCAGGTACTAAACTTCTAAACTTGGCTGGGGAGAGCGTGTTGAAGGGCAGGACAAGTAGATTGTTGATATATTTAAGGTTCTATTAATAATAGTATGTAGAGTGAAGATAACAGAAGATTAAACTCTTTCATGTACCAGTTACAACGTATTGTAGTATTATGTCATGGCTATATATAATACATTGACTCTGAAATTTAAAAAAATACACCCACAGCATTTTTTATAATATAATATGAGGCCTAATAGAATAGCAGCGCAGTGGATTGAATTGTACCTTGGTAAAATTCGGTAATATGCGTTAATTGGATGGTTGTGCGGTAAAATCCGATTGTTACCTGGATGGTTGTGCGGTAAAATGCGGTTGTTACCTGGATGGTTGTGCGGTAAAATGCGGTTGTTACCTGGATGGTTGTGCGGTAAAATGCAGTTGTTACCTGGATGGTTGTGCGGTAAAATGCGGTTGTTACCTGGATGGTTGGCCTCGTAAGGGGCAGCCCCAGGCCAGCCTGGTCCGGGAGCAGGAGCAGCACCCGCCGCCTCACGGTAGTTTTGTCCGGCGTAATATCTCTGCATTTCTATATTCACGTTGCTAGGCGCCGGGGCCGTTTTCATGGCATTGCTTACTGAAAATAAAGTACGGTTAGATACTGGAGCATAATATAATGTATATTATTTCATTGGTAACAAATTCTGAAAGTCTGAGGAGAAATTAAATCTGAGGAAATAAGGAGATTGTCAACTGTTTGAAAAGTTACAGACAACAAAAACACTTTTCCGTTTCCCGCAGACAACACAAATGGTTAAGAAAAGGACAATTTGGCTGGAGACAAGACACAAGAAAAACGCAAGAAAAACACAAGAAAGGCACAAGAAAAACACAAGAAAGCAGCAGTTAAGTTGTAGTGATGTGCACAAACTGCGTGAAAGGCACAAGAAAGGCACAAGAAAACACAAGAAAGCAGCAGTAAAGTTGTAGTGATGTGCACAAGCTCCGTGAAAGGCACAAGAAAGGCACAAGAAAGGCACAAGAAAAACACAAGAAAGCAGCAGTAAAGTTGTAGTGATGTGCACAAGCTGCGTGCACGGTGATGGTAGCTACTGTAAAACACAAGAAAAGCACAAGAAAACACAAGAAAGCAGCAGTAAAGTTGTAGTGATGTGCACAAGCTGCGTGCACGGTGATGGTAGCTACTGTAACACACAACTACTACACAGAACAGACTACCACAAATTATTCATCTCACGTTATACATGGTGGTTAATAGGAAGGAGGTCGCAACATATATAAAATAATTGCACTCTCTCTCTCTCTCTCTCTCTCTCTCTCTCTCTCTCTCTCTCTCTCTCTCTCTCTCTCTCTCTCTCTCTCTCTCTCTCTCTCTCTCTCTCTCTCTCTCTCTCTCTCTCTCTCTCTCTCTCTCTCTCTCTCTCTCTCTCTCTCTCTCTCTCTCTCTCTCTCTCTCTCTCTCTCTCTCTCTCTCTCTCTCTCTCTCTCTCTCTCTCTCTCTCTCTTGCTGTGCTATATAATATATTACATGTATATCATTATGATATTTCATGATGTGCAAAGCTTTCTCATGAGGCTGTGTGAGCGACCTAGTACGGGAAAATAATCTTAAAAAACTGTTGTAAAATGTAACAAGCGAGTGTAACAAATAATAAATATTGAATATGCAGTTCATTTAAAACGGAGAGAGAGAAAAAAGAGAGTGCCCACAGTAGTTCTCAAACAATACAATTTCTTCCAATTAACCGTTTCCTATCACGATATCACGGAGCTAGCTCAACAGGGAGATTCTGTTCATGTTGCGAATACTTAACCGCAATTTAGGCAGAAATTAGCCGGGGATTCAATAATTGTGCTTATATAAAGAGTATAAATATACTTCACAATCGGTGGAGAGACTGTAACAGAGATCTTAGATACGGAAATTATGTACATTAATTCAACTAGTAGTTCGTAAAGTATGCAGCATATTATAATACATGTTGCTCTGGAGTAGTTTCCGGGCATTTTATGTGTGTTTCCCTTAGATCTGACTGGCCCGGTCTGATATGTTGGAAATGTGGAAAATATGTGAACAATTTCAGAACATATATATATGTACAAGTTTCGAACATATGAATCAAGCGCATTTATGTGACCTAAAGAGACGTACAAATTTAATCATAACGTAATAAGAACTTAGTTGGAGACCTGAACTACCCGTTATTCCACCCAAAGTGCCACATAATGTCCACCTTGTCTAGCTGTCACATTTCCACGATTTGAAATCTAATTTCAGGCGAGTTGTCACGCAATTGAAATTAAAGAAACATCTCCGCAAGCAATCCTCGCGTATCATCATACGTCTCACCAAGGAGCTGAGCAAATTATTAAAAATACGGACTTCTAGAGATATCTCTAACACACTTAGCAGTAGAACAAAGTGATATAAGTGACATGCCACGCAATATAGAATAAATTAATAAATTCTAATATTTATTACACGCTTCGAGATGTACATTTGACTTTCAGGTCATGGGAAAGCTTCGAACCGATTCTTGATAAGTCCTTTTGATTCAGCCTTATTATATAGATACTGCGCAAGAAGCAAGCAGCACGCAAAGGAAGAGAAGAGTGACATGCCACGCGATATATACATGTATAGATGATAGATACTGCGCAAGAAGCAGCACGCAAAGGAAGAGGAGTAAGCTTTTAGTTGTGATATTAAAAATCGCACCTACGTTCGGAACAACGTAATAAAATGACTGGACAGCTATATAACAGAGCGGTTAAACCATATAAGAGGGACTAGGGTGTTATTGGGTGGTATTCATGTGGTGAACTGTCCAATATCAATATCACTGACATGCCCACCTAACATATAGCTGACTCACTATAATAACCTTCTCACTGAGATATAGCTGACTCACTATAATAACCTTCTCTCTGAGATATAGCTGACTCACTATAAAAACCTTCTCTCTGAGATATAGCTGACTCACTATAATAACCTTCTCGCTGAGATATAGCTGACTCACTATAATAACCTTCTCGCTGAGATATAGCTGACTCACTATAATAACCTTCCCTCTGAGATATAGCTGACTCACTATAATAACCTTCTCTCTGAGATATAGCTGACTCACTATAATAACCTTCTCTCTGAGATCGGGGACTATACGGTTTAACTGGTGTGGGGCTATGAGTAGGTGGTCTCTTAATTTCAAGCTGTTTGAGTAATGAGTAATATATAATATAATTCCATGTGCAATTCCAATGCAATTTGAAGCTTTCAACAGCGATCTTTCTGGGCATAGTACAACTGATAACTATTCAAATATCAAGGTGGGAATTCCATGTGCAGAGAGATTGCGACACTGTAATTTCGGATGTCGTGGACCGTGGTGGATAATAAATCGTATAAAGCTGTACAAAGAGAAACGATCCTGTTCAACGGTGATTTCAGCATGACAATACCACGAAAGCCACGGTTTCATCCGAGCACATGTATTATGATTTTGATGATCCACCGTGAAATTATGATCTAGATAATTATCGAGTCATGTAAAATAAGTTAGTTAATTATTGTAAATTATCAAACCTTGTTGGGAGTGAAACAGTATATCAGGTGAAGGGTAATTCATGTATTGACAAGCCTGTCATTTTTAATCTAATAATCGATTAAACGTTAAGCTAAGACAGGAGATGATATCGGAAATCAGGTGGAAAACACATTATGGTCAGATCGTTCAGGATAAGGCATTGGTTAAATGGATATAATCGATATACTCTTGGTTAAGATACCTAGGTTTAGCGAAGTAAGGGAAAGTATCAGCTCATTTGAGACGAGATTTACAAAACAAAGTGCAAAGTCTGCAGCATAACCACGTGATGCCCATATTAGGTAAAGTCTCCAGCATATGACTTCTGTCGGCGTGGGAATGTTTTGCACTGAATCGGTATGGTTTGTCGACAAAAGAGACATAATATAATGACATGTCTACACAGATACTTTAAATAAGTTTTACTGTAAAATACGTGTACTGGGGAAGGTTGTACAGATCGCATTCTGCAAACTTGGTACCTGTGCAGTGTGCACCTGATAAGATTTATGGCTTTAAGTATCACGAAATACTACGTTGAGTAACAAGAAATGTACTGAAAAGAAAATGTTTCATTCCTTCTGAGACCGCACCAAGGTTATAGGCAAACGGTTCAACATATAATATAAATTCACTGAATAATTTTAACTTGAATTTTGTCAAATTTACGGATTCCAAATATGGAATATTAATCTGTTCCGTCTTAATCATCTACTTTCTGAGAAGATCTTGGCGTCATAGTCTGATTAATAAGCTTAACCAGGAGACGACAATCTGTACATTCTAGATTACTAAATTCCAAATAACCGTGTGTAATGACTGTGTGTGTGAAATGACTGTATGTGTGTGTGTGACCTGAAGGTAAGTTTTAATGTACTACTGCATCGTGCTTGCCAAAATCCACCATCTTATTCTATACTACAAACTAACATTATATACTGAGTTTAACCGCTCTCTGCAGTAGGAAGAAGGGGTGGTCAGACATATTTTGTCACATCTTGCCACCACACTGGGAAATGTGATGAAATGAGCGGCAAAGTGTGGCTGAGCAATGTGGCTGAGCAGTGGGCCGAGCAGCCCCGGGATTACAGCGATCTAATAAATCATACATAAATCAGGGTAGACAATCTAGTGAATCAGGAGATAAGATAACGGGCAGCGGTCACGGAAGCAAGTGGAAAGGAAATTCACCTTTAGATAGCCGGATTATTTCCTGTAGCTCTACGAAAATCAAGCTGGTGACATAAAAACCAGTGATAAAGCTGACTAATAGCCGTTTATTAAACTAATATTTCTTATCTCAAAACCTGACTTCCTCTTGCTTATACTGATTACTGATAGGCCAAATGTCATATTCTGGTTAAAATTACGCAGTATTTTAACGGGGACTTTGAGCTTAACTTCCTTATTTGGATTCCACCAAAAGTAGTTCCACTGGAGACTAATTTAGATATTAAATATATTTTTATATTAGCAAATCAAAAGTAGTTCCAGTGGAGACTAATTTAGATATTAAATATATTTTTATATTAGCAAATCAAAAGTAGTTCCAGTGGAGACTAATTTAGATATTAAATATATTTTTATATTAGCAAATCAAAAGTAGTTCCGCTGGAGACTAATTTAGATATTAAATCTCCCTAATCCCTATTATTATATTATCAAATCTCCCAAAAGAGTCAACTAAAGCTACCCCCCGGCCCCAGTACTATTCCACAGCTAATAACCTTATAATATCCCTTCTTTGTGCTGGTTTAATTAATCAGTATTGTAATGTGATTGTAGGGAGTTGAAGAACACGGATTGTACCTTATACCTAGAGGCCAGGCCCGGCTGGGTATTGATATTGTGCAACTGTGTGAACCAACACTGCTTTTTGTTGTGAGGCAAGTCAGATAAGCTGACCATCTACTAGTATAGGGTGATAAACCTATTAATTATCTTTAAACCTAGTGCAAAGTGATAAGAACAATTAATCAACCCGGCCCGGGTCAGCAGTAAACCTTCTGAACAGAATCAACTCTAACCTACA